ATGTCACATGTGTGGGCCACTATGTGTACAGTTCTGACATAATTACGATCATTACCATGGCACATGGTCTTACAGTCAGTCCTGGTTGGTGCAGTCTCTCCTCTCCATCCCTCACACCATCACTCCCTCTCTCTCTCTCCATCCCTCACACCGTCTCTCCCTCTCTCTCTCTCCATCCCTCATACCATCCCTCCCCCACTCTCCATCCCTCACACCATCTCTCCCCCTCTCTCTCCATCCCTCACACCATCTCTCCCCCTCTCTCTCTATCCCTCACACCATCCCTCCCTCTCTCTCGCCATCCCTCACACCATCCCTCCTTCTCTCTCTCTATCCCTCACACGTCCCTTACACCATCCCTCACCATCCCTCCTTCTCTCTCCTATCCCTCACACCATCCCTCCCGCTCGCTCTCTCCATCCCCGCACAGCATCCCTCCTTCCTACTCGCCATTCCCTCACACATCCCTCCCGCTCTCTCCATTCCGCTCACAGCCATCCCCCTTCTCTTTCCCATTCCCTCACACCACCATCCCGCTCCTCTCCTCTCCTCTCTCCCCTCCCTTCCAACAACCCCATCCCCCTATCCTTCTCTCTCTCGCTTCCATCCCTCACAACCATCCCTCCTTCTCTCTCTCCCATCCTCAACAACCATCCCTCCCTCTCCTCTTCCTCCCATCCCGCACACCATCCCCTCTCTCCTCTCCCCTCTCTCTGCTCTCTCTCTCTCTCTCTCTCTCTCTCTCTCTCATCTCCTCTTTTTATCTCCATCCCCTATACAGTATAAACAGGTCATTTAGCAGAAGTAGGTCAGGTTTCTCCTCTCTCTCCATCCCTCTCCACCCCTCCCTCTCTCTCTCATCCCTCTCCACCCCTCCCTCTCTCATCCCTCTCTCTCTCATCCCTCTCCACCCCTCCCTCTCTCTCCACTCATCCCTCTCTCTCTCCATCCCTCTTCACCCCTCCCTCTCTCATCCCTCTCTCTCTCCATCCATCCCCTCTAAATCCCTCACACCACCCCTCCCCCTCTTTATCTCTCTCCCTTGCCTTCTCTCTCTCCACCCCATCTCACTCTATCCATCTCTCTCCATCCCTCTCCTTCCCACTCTCTCTCCATCTCTTCCCTCTGTTGTTGAGGAGAAAGATGCTTTGTGAATGCCTCCCATTTGACATAATGGGGTCCTTTAGTACCTCTGATGCACATGATGTATCAGAATGTCGTATTCCTGCCATTAGTGTTCGCAGCTACGAGCTAGTGCTCCATTAGGGGGATGACTGACTGGAGCTACTGTCTAGATTGTTGCTCCATTAGGGGGATGACTGACTGGAGCTACTGTCTAGATTGTTGCTCCATTAGGGGGATGACTGACTGGAGCTACTGTCTAGATTGTTGCTCCATTAGGGGGATGACTGACTGGAGCTACTGTCTAGATTGTTGCTCCATTAGGGGGATGACTGACTGGAGCTACTGTCTAGATTGTTGCTCCATTAGGGGGATGACTGACTGGAGCTACTGTCTAGATTGTTGCTCCATTAGGGGGATGACTGACTGGAGCTACTGTCTAGATTGTTGCTCCATTAGGGGGATGACTGACTAGAGCTACTGTCTAGATTGTTGCTCCATTAGGGAGATGACTGACTGGAGCTACTGTCTAGATTGTTGCTCCATTAGGGGGATGACTGACTGGAGCTACTGTCTAGATTGTTGCTCCATTAGGGAGATGACTGACTGGAGCTACTGTCTAGATTGTTGCTCCATTAGGGAGATGACTGACTGGAGCTACTGTCTAGATTGTTGCTCCATTAGGGGGATGACTGACTGGAGCTACTGTCTAGATTGTTGCTCCATTAGGGGGATGACTGACTGGAGCTACTGTCTAGATTGTTGCTCCATTAGGGAGATGACTGACTGGAGCTACTGTCTAGATTGTTGCTCCATTAGGGAGATGACTGACTGGAGCTACTGTCTAGATTGTTGCTCCATTAGGGGGATGACTGACTGGAGCTACTGTCTAGATTGTTGCTCCATTAGGGAGATGACTGACTGGAGCTACTGTCTAGATTGTTGCTCCATTAGCACCCTGCAAATAGGACCCTAACAAAGCAGAGTCATGTCAGTTCACAGCTCTCCACTGAGACTGAAGCAGTCACTGAGAGGGAGAGAGAGAGAGAGAGGGGGGGGGGGAGAGAGGGAGAGAGGGGGGTTGTCCTCTAAAATGCATGACTAAATTGTTCTTAGTTTTGGTGTTTGGTTGACTTACAGAAGGGCTGTTTAGTTGTTCCATTGCTGTGTTCAATTGCACAAAGTAGATGTATTTAACCGTCATGTTAATTAATCGAAGAGTGTGCATGTCACAACAAAACATACATTTTTGTTGCATTGTTAGAAACCTTTTTGTGTGAACATGAATAAAACATTCCTGTTCACCTGCAACTGAATATGCCATGTAAAAACCCCAAGCTGGAATAACAATATATAACGTCTGTTATCCAACAGAGTTGTGGGGAATGTCTGTCGCTGTGGCGGCCAGTCAAGGACGTCTCAGAGGTTGATTTCACCTCTGACTCAGGGCCAACCGCATGCCGAGCTAATGCACTTTAAATAGGGCTCGTTCCACATTGCTTCCCTAGCACTCTCCTAGCGCTTAGCAGCATTTTATGGGGCCCAGCCAAGGCCAGCCAGTGGGAAGAAGTCTATTAGCCATTTTGGAGCTGACAGTGAGCTGGCTCAAACAGGCGATGCATCCTAAATGGCACCCTATTCCCTACATAGTGCACTACAAAAGGAATCGGGTGCCATTTGGGACTCTACCAGGGACCTTTTCGGGGGCCCTCGATAGATACAGGCAGATAATTTACTGTCCCATCAGGGAGGAAGAGGGAAGAGACTAGTAGTGTACACTTTGGGTATATGTTTCACTGGTATAGGCCAAGTCCTGAACTGTGTGGAGAGGATGATTTAAACTCAGAGGCTTTTAGGCATTAATTTGCTCACTGATTCCCTTGATACGCAACCGTAAGTGCTTTAAGTGACTCTTAAATTGCGGTAAATCACAAACACATCCAAATTAAGCACGTTTCTAGTCGAGACCAACATATGTTTGTCTTGTAGACCTTACATCTTGAGTTTTCAGTCCCTCAGTATCTCCTCTATCCTCATCTAGCTGTAGCTTCGTTAGTGTCTTTAGAACATAGAACACAGCTAGCTGTAGCTTTGTTAGTGTCTTTAGAACATGGAACACAGCTAGCTGTAGCTTTGTTAGTGTCTTTAGAACATGGAACACAGCTAGCTGTAGCCTTGTTAGTGTCTTTAGAACATGGAACACAGCTAGCTGTAGCTTTGTTAGTGTCTTTAGAACATGGAACACAGCTAGCTGTAGCTTTGTTAGTGTCTTTAGAACATGGAACACAGCTAGCTGTAGCTTTGTTAGTGTTCTTTAGAACATGGAACACAGCTAGCTGTAGCTTTGTTAGTGTCTTTAGAACATGGAACACAGCTATATGTAGCTTTGTTAGGGTTCTTTAGAACATCTGAAGATGTTGTGGCTCTTTTAAAGAACAAGGGGCATATGTTATGAACCCTTGTTTCTCGTCTGCTATGGAAATGCTCTCCCCAAAGTCTTGATGGGAAGTGCTGAATGTCTGTCTTCAAAGTTTCTCACCTCAGAACAGGCGCCTTAATTACTCGCCCACTGTCTGCGCTGAGCAGAGAGGGAAACATTTTTTTCGGACAAATAAGTGGATGGCTTGATTTATTTATGACTCGCCCCAACCTCCCTCTCTCTCTCGCTGCTTATCTCTCCCGCTCTGCCTATCTCTCTCTCTTTCGGTCTCTCTGTCTTTCCATCTCTCTCTCTCTCTCTCTCTCTCTCTCTCTCTCTCTCTCTCTCTCTCTCTCTCTGTGTCGCTCTCTATCTGTCTCTCTCTCTACCTCTCTCTGCTTCGCTCTCTTTATCGGTCTCTCTCACTCCCTCTCGATCGGTCTCTCTGTCTCTCTCTCTCTCTCTCTCTGTCAGTTTGGGCTTGGGAGCGGTGGGGTAGTGATAGCTAATCTTTGAAGTGCGTCTCCACGGAGTCTCCATAGCAACAGTGCTTTTGACTTATGCTGTGAACAATAAATGGCCACTCTAAAATGTGCAGATGTCTCAAGTTTTGAGGGAGCGTGCAATTGGCATGCTGACTGCAGGAATGTCCACTAGAATGTCCACTGTTGCCAGAGAATTGAATGTTAATTTCTCTACAATAAGCCGCCTCCAACGTCGTTTTAGAGAATTTGGTAGTCCGTCCAACCGGCCTTACAACCGCAGACCACGTGTAACCACTCCAGCCCAGGACCTCCACATCTGAGGAGTTTTTCTGTCTGTAATAAAGCCCTTTTGTGGGGAAAAACTCATTCTGATTGGCTGGACCTGGCTCCCAAGTGGGCTCCCAAGCCTTCCCAGGCCAATCCATGGCTGCGCCGCTGCCCCCGTCATGTGAAATCCATAGATTAGGGCCTAATGAATTTATTTAAATTGACTGATTTTACTTATATGAACTGTAACTCAGCAAAATATTTTTAATTGTTGCATGGTGCGTTTATATTTTTGTTCAGTATAATACCTAGTAATGATTATACTGCCAGAAAGATTAAAATCTAATCTTTCTGGTAAAAATAGTTGCTGAGGTGTAGTCACTTTTGAGCTCAAGTACACAATACTAATATGATACAAATATAATATTATGTTTTTCCTATTCAACATGGGGCTTGAAATGATTGAAATGCTTTCTAAATATAGTAACAATCAAATTATAAACAACTTACTATAATATTTAACCTAACTGTAAATACATATGATCATACTTAGTGACAGTACAAAATTGGCACCATTTTGATAAAACTGATGATGGTGCATTTTCTGCCCAGCGACACACAAATCAAATCAAATTTTATTTGTCACATACATGTGTTTAGCAGATTTTATTGCGGGTGTAGCGAAATGTTTGTGCTTCTAGCTCCGACAGTGCAGTAATACCTAACAAGTAATATCTAACAATTTCACAACATATACAGTGGGGAGAACAAGTATTTGATACACTGCTGATTTTGCAGGTTTTCCTACTTACAAAGCATGTAGAGGTCTGTACTTTTAATCATAGGTACACTTCAACAAAAATCCAGAAAATCACATTGTATGATTTTTAAGTAATTCATTTGCATTTTATTGCATGACATAAGTATTTGATCACCTACCAACCAGTAAGAATTCCGTCTCTCACAGACCTGTTAGTTTTTCTTTAAGAAGCCCTCCTGTTCTCCACTCATTACCTGTATTAACTGCACCTGTTTGAACTCGTTACCTGTATAAAAGACACCTGTCCACACACTCAATAAAACAGACTCCAACCTCTCCACAATGGCCAAGACCAGAGAGCTGTGTAAGGACATCAGGGATAACATTGTAGACCTGCACAAGGCTGGGATGGGCTACAGGACAATAGGCAAGCAGCTTGGTGAGAAGGCAACAACTGTTGGCGCAATTATTAGAAAATGGAAGAAGTTCAAGATGACGGTCAATCACCTTCGGTCTGGGGCTCCATGCAAGATCTCACCTCGTGGGGCATCAATGATCATGAGGAAGGTGAGGGATCAGCCCAGAACTACACGGCAGGACCTGGTCAATGACCTGAAGAGAGCTGGGACCACAGTCTCAAAGAAAATCATTAGTAACACACTACGCCGTCATGGACAAAATCCTGCAGCGCACGCAAGGTCCCCCTGCTCAAGCCAGCGCATGTCCAGGCCCGTCTGAAGTTTGCCAATGACCATCTGGATGATCCAGAGGAGGAATGGGAGAAGGTCATGTGGTCTGATGAGACAAAAATAGAGCTTTTTGGTCTAAACTCCACTCGCCGTGTTTGGAGGAAGAAGAAGGATGAGTACAACCCCAAGAACACCATCCCAACCATGAAGCATGGAGGTGGAAACATCATTCTTTGGGGATGCTTTTCTGCAAAGGGGACAGGACGACTGCACCGTATTGAGGGGAGGATGGATGGGGCCATGTATCGCGAGATCTTGGCCAACAACCTCCTTCCCTCAGTAAGAGCATTGAAGATGGGTCGTGGCTGGGTCTTCCAGCATGACAACGACCCGAAACACACAGCCAGGGCAACTAAGGAGTGGCTCCGTAAGAAGCATCTCAAGGTCCTGGAGTGGCCTAGCCAGTCTCCAGACCTGAACCAAATAGAACATCTTTGGAGGGAGCTGAAAGTCTGTATTGCCCATCGACAGCCCCGAAACCTGAAGGATCTGGAGAAGGTCTGTATGGAGGAGTGGGCCAAAATCCCTGCTGCAGTGTGTGCAAACCTGGTCAAGACCTACAGGAATCGTATGATCTCTGTAATTGCAAACAAAGGTTTCTGTACCAAATATTAAGTTCTGCTTTTCTGATGTATCAAATACTTATGTCATGCAATAAAATGCAAATTAAATTACTTAAAAATCATACAATGTGATTTTCTGGATTTTTGTTTTAGATTCCGTCTCTCACAGTTGAAGTGTGCCTATGATATAAATTACAGACCTCTACATGCTTTGTAAGTAGGAAAACCTGCAAAATTGGCAGTGTATCAAATACTTGTTCTCCCCACTGTACCCTATACACACAAATCTAGTAAGTAATGGCATTTAAGAATATATACATATATGGACAAGCAATGACAGTGGCATGGACTAAGATACAGTAGAATATTATAGAATAGAATACAGTATATACAGTGAGGGAAAAAAGTATTTGATCCCCTGCTGATTTTGTACGTTTGCCCACTGACAAAGACATGATCAGTCTATAATTTTAATGGTAGGTTTATTTGAACAGTGAGAGACAGAATAACAACAAAAAAATCCAGAAAAACGCATGTCAAAAATGTTATAAATAGATTTGCATAAGTATTTGACCCCTCTGCAAAACATGACTTAGTACTTGGTGGCAAAACCCTTGTTGGCAATCACAGAGGTCAGACGTTTCTTGTAGTTGGCCACCAGGTTTGCACACATCTCAGGAGGGATTTTGTTCCACTCCTCTTTGCAGATCTTCTCCAAGTCATTAAGGTTTCAAGGCTGACGTTTAGCAACTTGAACCTTCAGCTCCCTCCACAGATTTGCTATGGGATTAAGGTCTGGAGACTGGCTAGGCCACTCCAGGACCTTAATGTGCTTCTTCTTGAGCCACTCCTTTGTTGCCTTGGCCGTGTGTTTTGGGTCATTTTCAATGCCCTGGCTGAGGGAAGGAGGTTCTCACCCAAGATTTGACGGTACATGGCCCCGTCCATCGTCCCTTTGATGCGGTGAAGTTGTCCTGTCCCCTTAGCAGAAAAACACCCCCAAAGCATAATGTTTCTACCTCCATGTTTGACGGTGGGGATGGTGTTCTTGGGGTCATAGGCAGCATTCCTCCTCCTCCAAACACGGCGAGTTGAGTTGATGCCAAAGACCTCGATTTTGGTCTCATCTGACCACACCACTTTCACCCAGTTCTCCTCTGAATCATTCAGATGTTCATTGGCAAACTTCAGACGGCCCTGTATATGTGCTTTCTTGAGCAGGGGGACCTTGCGGGCGCTGCAGGATTTCAGTCCTTCACGGCAGAGTGTGTTACCAATTGTTTTCTTGGTGACTATGGTCCCAGCTGCCTTGAGATCATTAACAAGATCCTTCCGTGTAGTTCTGGGCTGATTCCTCACCGTTCTCATGATCATTGCAACTCCACGAGGTGAGGTCTTGCATGGAGCCCCAGGTCGAGGGAGATTGACAGGTCTTTTGTGTTTCTTCCATTTGCGAATAATCGCACCAACTGTTGTCACCTTCTCACCAAGCTGCTTGGCGATGGTCTTGTAGCCCATTCCAGCCTTGTGTAGTTCTACAATCTTGTCCCTGACATCCTTGGAGAGCTCTTTGGCCTTGGCCAATACTTTTTTCCCTCACTGTACATATGAGATAATATTATAGAATAGAATACAGTATATACATATGAGATGAGTAGTGCAATTCAAAAGATGCCATTCAAAAACCTGCTGGCTCGGTACAGCTTCAGCTTTAAGTACGAGGTAATTTCGTCCCTCTGTGACCAGGAGAAAGTGGTCTTGTTTCAATTCTACGGAATGATTTTGTATTTTTTCCTGTTGAGAACTCTAAATCCATCTGAGAACATCAACAGTGAGATGAGACTACTGTGTTTGCTGCAATCCCTAGAGTCTCCCATTTCATATATACTGTAATATTGTAAGCGCAGCTGCGAGGTTCACTGCCAGGGGAGTTCGGTCCTTTGTCTGGATAGGCATGAAAATGTGACGTGGCGGATGTGTTGTTGCCTACCCTCACCATCTGGGGGCGTCCCGTTAGGAAGTCCAGGATCCAGTTTCAGAGGGAGGTGTTCAGTCCCATTGTCCTTAGCTGATAAGCTTGGAGGGCAATATGGTGTTGAACGCTGAGATGTAGTCAATGAACAGCATTCTCACGTAGTTGTTCCTTTTGTACAAGAGGGAAAGGGCGGTGTTGAGGCGGTATGCAAATTGAAATGGGATGATGGTGTTGATTTTGAGCCCTGACCAGCCTTTCAAAGCATTTCATGGCTACAGATGTGAGTGCTACAGGGCGATAGTCATTTAGACAGGTTACCTTGGCATTCTTGGGCACAGGGACTATGGTGGTCTGCTTGAAACATGTAGGTATTACAGACTGGGTCAGGGAGAGGTTGAAAATGTAAGTGAAGACACTTGCCAGCTGGTCAGCGCATGCTCTGAGTACTCGTCCTGGTAATCCGTCTGGCCCTGTGGCCTTGTGAATGTTAACAGTCGTGCGGAACAGCTGGTGCTCTCACGCATGGTTCAGTGTTGCTTGCCTCAAAGCAAGCATAGAAGGCATTTAGCTCGTCTAGTAGGCTCACGTCACTGGGTAGCTCGCGGCTGGATTACCCTTTGTAATCCGTGATAGTTTGCGAGCTCTGCCACATCTGACGAGCGTCAGAGCCGAAGTAGTAGGATTCGATCTGTATTGTAGCTTTGCCTGTTTGATGGTTCGTCGGAGGGCATAGCGGGAATTCTTAGAAGCGTCCGGATTAGTGTCCTGCTTCTTGAAAGCGGCAGCTCTAGCCTTTAGCTCAGTGGGGATGTTGCCTGTAATCTATGGCTTCTGGTTGGAATATGTACATACAGTCACTGTGGGGAGGACGTCATCGATGCCCTTATTAATGAAGCCGGTGACTGATGTGGTAAATGCCATCGGATGAGTCCCAGAACATATTCCAGTCTGTGCTAGTGAAACAGTCCAGTAGCTTACCATCCACTTCATCAGACCACTTTCGTATTGAGCGTGTCACTGGTACTTCCTGAGTTTTTTCACCTCTAGTTAGTGACATGCTGGTAGAAATGAGGTAAGACGTATTTCAGTTTCCCTGCATTAAAGTCACCGGCCTCTATGGCCCTATACAGCTCATTGAGTGCAGTCTTAATGCCAGCATCGGTTTGTGGTGGTAAATAGACAGCTACGAAAAATATAGATGAGTTGCTGTGACTGTTAGTTAAAGGGAAGACTACAAACAAGCATGCTCCCAGTTGATGTAAGATGCCGCCTAGGCTTAACTCCACCCTGCCTCCATCACTATCACCTTCTTCATGTGTGTCTGCCTCGCCTCCATTGATTCTCGATCAATGACTGCGATAGTATCACCCCATTGTCATGAGCTCAGACTGATAGTGTAACAATCCCTGTCTGTCTGTCTGTCTGTCTGTCTGTCTGTCTGTCTGTCTGTCTGTCTGTCTGTCTGTCTGTCTGTCTGTCTGTCTGTCTGTCTGTCTGTCTGTCTGTCTGTCTGTCTGTCCCCAACAGAAAGCGTACTGTGGCCACTGCAGTGAAAGGATATGGGGGCTGGGGACGCAGGGCTACAAGTGTATCAACTGCAAACTGCTGGTCCATAAGCGCTGTCACAAACTCGTTCCTCTGACCTGCCAAAGGCATATGGTGAGTACCATAGAAATAGAATCTCATTCTAGTTCTGTGGTGAGTACTCTGGCCAATCCGTCATGTCAAAGCATCGGAAGAACGTATTACATGGACACTTCACATACTGCAGTGCAAAAGGCATATGGTGAGCTTATAAAGGCTTTTTAGAGCATTTAGAGTCTTCATAAGCGCTTCATAGATACTTCATAAACTTAAGTGAATGTCTGAATGAATGATTTGGGAGGGTGAATGAGTAATATTTAACTGCTTTAGGTTGAAACAATTTTCTTAGCATTTGAACAATTCAACTTGTTTAGAGTAAAAGATCAAGGTGATCAATTAAATTATTCACAAGTCTAAATTAAACATTACTATTGATGTTCTAATGTGTATTTGTAACATAATGAATGCTGTTCTGCCCCGAGCGGGGATCGAACTAGCAACCTTCTGCACAACACATACTGTATATAACTCAAAAAGCCAACTACCGTAGCCAACAGAGCAAAATACTGGTCTGTCATTTCATGAGAAACAGTTCGCAATGTACTCCAGCCAACATGCTACGGGCAAGTTTCAAATGGCACCCTTTTCCCTATGTAGTGCACTACTTTTGACCAGGGCCCATAGGCAATATGGTGTCATTTGAGACACACCCATACTGTAGTGTATACTGAAACATCACGTGGTTGATCTCTAGTTACAGACTGCTAACAAACAGAAAGAAGCTAAGAGGTCCTTGCAATCAGCCCATTTGGCATTACGATTAGAGCTAGCCTCAATATGAAAGCCTGTGGACGTTCTTGTCAGGGACAAGCTAAAAGAAGGTGGAGGGTTCTGTGTCTGCACCACATACTCTTATGACTGGTGTCCCCCAGGGCTCGGTTCTAGGCCCTCTCCTCTTCTCTCTATACACCAAGTCATTCAGCTTCGTCATATCCTTACCTGGTCTCTCCTGTCATTGCTATGTGGATGACACTCAACTGCTTTTCTCCTTCCCCCCTTCTGACACCCAGGCGGCGACACGCATCTCTGCGTGCCCGGCAGATATCTCAGCTTGGATGTCGGCCCACCACCTCAAGCTCAACCTCGACAAGACGGAGCTGCTCTTCCTCCCGTGGAATGCCTGCCCGCTCAAAGACCTCTCCATCACGGTTGACAACTCCACGTGTCCCCCCTCCCAGAGTGCAAAGAACCTTGGCGTGACTCTGGACAACATGCTGTCATTCTCTGCAAACATCAAAGCAGTAACTCGCTCCTGCAGGTTCATGCTCTACAACATCCGTAGAGTACGGCCCTACCTCACACAGGAAGCAGCGCAGGGCCTAGTCCAGGCACTTGTCATCGCCCATCTGGACTACTGCAACTCGCTGTTGGCTGGGCTCCCCACTTGTGCCATCAAACCCCTGCAACTTATCCAGAACTCAGCCTTCCCAAGTTCTCCCAAGTCACCCCACTTCTCCGCACACTCCACGAAGCTCTCATCCATTACAAGACCATGGTACTTGCCTACGATCGAGGAACTGCCCCCTCCCCCCTATCTTAAGATAAATGCACTAACTGTAAATCGCTCTGGATAAGAGCGTCTGCTAAATGACTAACATGTAAATGTAAAGATGGGTATCTAAGCCGTTAGCCCTACAATAGGCACGTTCAAACAGAGGCGGAGAATCGAAACCGAAAGCCAATAATTTTCACTGGTGCCCACTTAGGGTAGTGTCATTTCAGCCAAATTATTTACAAAATAACAAATTAAATCCTAAATATCAATTTTAAATAATAGCGTATGCTAGCAATGCTAGCACTGTAAATTTACTTACTCTGCATAATTTGCGCTTCTGAAGAGGTATGGAAGGGGTGGTTGTTTTTGAAAAATCTACGTCTAGTGACAGCCAATCAGAACAACGTGAGCGAGGCCTGGAATCCAGGGCTAGACTACAGCAAACCTGGTGCCGAAAACCCAGTTCAATAGTCAGATGTAATAATAGGCTGTTTTCTTTAATGTAATCTGACGATGCTCTATCAACAAACACTTTGATCCCCTTTGAAAAGACAATGCCTCATGGTTAGAACCGCATTAAAATTATGTATATAAGTGCTTTGTCGTGAGAAATATGCAGACTTCTCAACTTTTGTGGTCTTTTATTTTGTTGAAAAGATACCTCCATGTGCCTAAGATGTCTATCAACGTAGAACCTCTTTAAAACGGAAGCCTCTTCTTCCCAGTGTCTCCAAGGACCTAGTCATGATTTGTTTGATACTCTTTTGGCAGCCTCAAAACCATGTTGCGGCTATTTGCCTGTCTTCTCTTGGCAGGATCCAGTCATGCCATCACAGGAGCCCCCTTTAGATGAGAAGAGTGAAGAGGTGGACCTCCCCCCTGAAGACACAGAGGATACAGATGGAAGTCAGTTCCTATCAAATATTGTTTCTTTCAATATAGACATAACGTGAGAAGTAGGATTCTTGCCGTCTCAGTCTTGGTCTCAGTGCACTGGGTTTGAGTCTGGGCCTGTATGTAAAAAGCATAGTATGGGGGTAGGGGTGCTGATCTTTCTCATTCATTATGAAAACGTAAAACTGATCCTAGATCAGCACTCCTGCCCCGAAAACACTTTGTGAATACTCATTTCAAAGGCTTTAAAGACACTATTCAATCAAAACCGATAACTAGATTTCCAGGTTTGTAAAAAAAAGAAACAAAGAAAATAACTCATGTTTGAATCAGCATGTTGTTTACAGACTGGTCCGAACGTTTACTTTCAATGCACTATTCTGCACAGCGCAATTTTACAAATATGAATTGAAGTCGGCCATTGTCTTTCCAAGTGTGTGGTTTTTCTGCCAGAATCAGCACCTTGAACAAGATGCACTGCTGTGCACAGGGCCTTCACCTCTCTTTGTGCACTGGTTCTGTCCAGTCCAGTATAGTCTAGTACTGTACAGTCCAGTACAGTATAGTCCAGTAAATTACAGTATAGTCCACTACAGTATAGTCCAGTATAGTCCACTACAGTATAGTCCAGTATAGTCCAGTACAGTATAGTCCAGTCCAGTATAGTCCAGTATAGTCCAGTCCAGTATAGTCCAGTCCAGTATAGTCCAGTACAGTATAGTCCAGTCCAGTATAGTCCAGTACAGTATAGTCCAGTCCAGTCCAGTATAGTCCAGTCCAGTATAGTCCAGTATAGTACAGTATAGTCCAGTACAGTATAGTCCAGTACAGTATATTGATAGTACAGTATAGTCCAGTATAGTCCAGTACAGTATAGTCCAGTCCAGTATAGTCCAGTCCAGTATAGTCCAGTATAGTACAGTATAGTCCAGTACAGTATAGTCCAGTCCAGTCCAGTATAGTCCAGTCCAGTATAGTCCAGTCCAGTATAGTCCAGTACAGTATAGTCCAGTCCAGTATAGTCCAGTATAGTATAGTCCAGTCCAGTATAGTCCAGTACAGTATAGTCCAGTCCAGTATAGTCCAGTCCAGTATAGTCCAGTACAGTATAGTCCAGTATAGTCCAGTCCAGTATAGTCCAGTCCAGTCCAGTATAGTCCAGTCCAGTATAGTCCAGTATAGTCCAGTATAGTCCAGTACAGTATAGTCCAGTACAGTCCAGTATAGTCCAGTCCAGTATAGTCCAGTATAGTACAGTATAGTACAGTACAGTATAGTCCAGTACAGTATATTGATAGTACAGTATAGTCCAGTATAGTCCAGTACAGTATAGTCCAGTCCAGTCCAGTCCAGTATAGTCCAGTCCAGTCCAGTATAGTCCAGTCCAGTATAGTCCAGTATAGTCCAGTATAGTCCAGTACAGTCCAGTATAGTCCAGTCCAGTATAGTCCAGTATAGTACAGTATAGTACAGTACAGTATAGTCCAGTACAGTATATTGATAGTACAGTATAGTCCAGTATAGTCCAGTACAGTATAGTAACACTACTCACCAGTGACACCAGTGACCAGTAGGCTAACCTACTTGGGCAGAGGCAGCTCACTCTGCAGATCATGGTGCCCTCTGGTGGCCACAAGGGTGAACTACATGTCCCACAATGCTCCCTTGATTATGGGAGAATCTCAATTGCGTTTCCTTGATTCCCCGCACCCTCTCTCCCGCCTACTTCTTAAAACCCATTGGATGAGGTCAGAGGTCCCTTCCCTCTGATCTTCTCATCCAATGGGTTTTGAGAAGGAGGCGAGGAGAGAGGACTCAAGAAATCAAGGAAATACAATTGAGATTCTCCCATGGACTCTTTCTCAATGAATCTTTCCTCGATTCCTTGTATCCTCTCTCCTTGTCTCCTCCTCAAAATAATTTTCAACCTTTTCCTTCCAATATGGTTGAGGAGGCGAGGAGAAAGGATGCAAGGAATCACGGAAAGATGAATTGAGATGGAGCCATGGATTCTTGAGGAGTAGCCTGGTTGGTCCTCTGTAGATCAGTTGGTAAAGCATGGCCCTTGCAACTCCAGGATAGTCGGTTTGATTCCCGGGACCACCCATACGTAAAATGTATGCACGCATGACTGTAAGTGGCTTTGGATAAAAACATCTGCTAAATAGCATATTATACTGTATATTATTAAATGGAGATGGCTTTAGACAAAAGATCCTTAGGTTTTTAATGCCCAGTCCTCACTGCATAGAACCTTCCATCACAACTCAGGTAACAAGTTGTTTCTCTCTTCAGTAACTTTCCTACCACACAGTCGCCAAGTGGACAAAGTGGAAAAGGACTCGAAGGTGAGTTTATTCAGACACACAAAGTCAATCAGTCAGTCATGCATTCTATTATGATATGGACATATGGAGTGTTCTGGTATTCCAGAATGTCAAATATTATATTCTGTTTGTAGAACACAGAACACAGAACAGGCAGCCCATACTACACTTAAGAAAAATATAAACGCAACATGTAAAGTGTTGGTCCCAAGTTTCAATAGCTGAAATAAAAGATCCCAGAAATGTTCCATACGCACAAAAATATAATTTATCTCAAATGTTGGGCACAAGTTAGTTTACATCCCTGTTAGTGAGTATTTCTCCTTTGCCAAGATAATCTATCCACCTGACCGGTGTGGCATATTAACTTGCTGATTAATCAGCATGATCATTACACAGGTGCACCTTATGCTGGGGACAATAAAAGGCCACTCTAAAATGTGCAGTTTTGTCACACAACACAATGCCACAGAGTGCAATTGGCATGCTGACTGCAGGAATGTCCTCCAGAGTTGTTGCCAGAGAATTGAATGTACATTTCTCTACCATAAGCCGCCTCCAACGTCGTTTTAGAGAATTTGGCAGTACGTCCAACCGGCCTCACAACCGCAGACCACGTGTAACCACACCAGCGGAGGACCTCCACATCCGGCTTCTTCACCTGCGGGAGCGTCTGAGACCAGCCACCCGGACAGCTGATGAAACTGAGGAGTATTTCTGTCTGTAATAAAGCCCTTTGTGGGGAGAAACTCATTCTGATTGGCTGGGCCTGGCTCCCCAGTGGGTGGGCCTGTGCCCAGTCTTGTGAAATCCATAGATTAGGGCCTAATGAATTTATTTAAATTGACTGATTTCCTTATATGAACTGTAACTCAGTAAAGTCGTTGAAATCATTGCATGTTGCGTTTATATTTTTGTTCAGTACATTTTATTGGATTTTCTCACACAAAAATTTCACACAGGTTCTTATATGCGTATCTTTTCAACACCTTATAATATAAGATGTTTTTATAATATGTTAGCATTTGTATTTACATGTCCATGATTCCAGCTCTATGTCTATAACCATAAGGTTTTCCTGCAAACCTGGCGAAAACCTTCGGATCGAAAACGTTGCACTTTTAATAAACAACAGGGGCATTGAACAGTGTGCTGGTATCTGGCTCTTTTCTAACATTCCTTTCCCATCCAAACCCCCCTTACAGGACATCAAAGCGGTGGTGGACGGGATCGACGGCATCAAGATCTCCCAGGAGATGGCGCTGGGCCTGGGGGACTTCGACCTGATCCGGGTGATCGGCCGCGGCAGCTACGCCAAGGTGCTGCTGGTGCGACTCAAGAAGAATGAACAGATATACGCCATGAAGGTGGTCAAGAAGGAACTGGTTCATGACGACGAGGTGAGAGGGAGGGAGGGAGGGAGGGAGGGAGGGAAGGGGGAGGAGGAGAGAGAGGGAGGGGGGAGGAGGAGAGAGAGGGAAGGGGGAGGAGGAGAGAGAGGGAAGGGGGAGGAGGAGAGAGAAAGAGAGAGGTGAAAAGAGGAGAGGATCTGGAGTAGAGTAGAGGGAGGGTCCATGGAAGCGGGGGATTAAATGAGAAAAACAAGAGAAGAGAACTGGAAAAAACATGAGGAGGTGTGATGGAGGGATGAGGAAGACAGGAAGTTATTGTAAAGTAAATTGGCCTCAACGAGGAAAATTAGGAGTCAAATGGATATAAAGACAGGGAGAAGAACTGAGGAAATACGTAAGGAGTGTAGAGGGAAGATTAAATAAAAAACGGAGGTTGATGAGTTTGAAGAATTATTGAGCGATATTATAGTTTCCACCTCTAGGTGGGGCTATGGTGTTACTATTATGCCTAGCACACATCTGACAGAACTACTACAGAGGGCGAGGACAGGTGTTTGTGATTTGATTATCCTCTAATCATAGAGAGAGAAGCCTCTCTTGGCTCGTAAATATTTGAGCTCTTCAAGTTTCAATGTATAACTCAGAGACAGACAACACTTCAACCAATTATTCTTGTGGAGAAGACCATTCCTTCTAAAGCATTTTACATGTTAGGCATTTAGTAGACGCTCTTATCCAGAGCAACTTACAGTAGTGAGTACATACATTTTCGTACTGGTCCCCTGTGGGAATCGAACCCACAACCCTGGCTTAGCAAGCGCCATGCTGTACCAACTGAGCCACACGGGACCAGTCAACACTCAACATGCTGTTAAAGGGGCAATACAGGATTGGTACATAAAGTGGTTACATTTCTCCTGCTCCATCCCTCAACCGTTTACCAAAAGCAGTGGCGGGGTGGCTGCTTTGTTTGCCCTTTTTCATGGAATTATGTCTGTGTTATCTTACACCGTACGGCCCGTTCAGTGATTTTATAGATCTCTCATTATCGATCTCTCTATATATATCTCTCATTATCGATCTCTCTTTATATATCTCTCATTATCGATCTCTCTTTATATATCTCTAATTATAGATCTCTCCCAATGTTTTTAGTGGGGATCACACCGTAACGATTCTATATATTTATGAATGCATATACAATATGTGGTTACATTTTATTTGTCACATGCTTCGTAAACAACAGGTGTAGATAACAGCACAGTGCCAGGCTTAGCCAAGCAAAGCCTGGCCCAGATGTCAGACAGACGTCAGAGACAGACAGACAGACAGACGGACGGACGGGTGTGTTTACATATTAAAACCTTTTACTGCAGTGGGCTAAATCAGGGTCAGTTTAAAAAAAAATCTACTTTGAAACAAAAGTATACACCTCACACACATGGTTATGGTCTTTAAAAAAGAAGACACCTGTACCATGTCAGATATAGAGTTGAAATGTATTACGTTTTGAGTTTGCATCCCAATATTACACTTTATATACATCACAGAAGACTGAAATATAACAAAACCGTTTGACATAAAAACACCAGATTTTCGGCAGTTTTTTTTTAAAGGATGTTTATTATGAAAAATATTAATAACATTCTACCCATGATGCCACTAGAGGGCGATTTGGTCATTTGACTGCAGGAAAGGGTTTAAAGGGGTCACTGCTGGCCATGTTTTGGGCCTGATGAGGAATGGGAGGGTATTTTAGGAGACAGTACCTGGCCTGGGTTCAGCCTAGTCAGTCCCTGGGAGTCAGTCCCTGGCCTGGGTTCAGCCTAGACAGTCCCTGGGAGTCAGTCCCTGGCCTGGGTTCAGCCTAGACAGTCCCTGGGAGTCAGTCCCTGGCCTGGGGTCAGCCTAGTCAGTCCCTGGGAGTCAGTCCCTGGCCTTGGTTCAGCCCAGTCAGTCCCTGGGAGTCAGTCCCTGGCCTTGGTTCAGCTTAGTCAGTCCCTGGGAGTCAGTCCCTGGCCTGGGTTCAGCCTAGACAGTCCCTGGCCTGGGGTCAGCCTAGTCAGTCCCTGGGAGTCAGTCCCTGGCCTGGGTTCAGCCTAGACAGTCCCTGGCCTGGGGTCAGCCTAGTCAGCCCCTCGGCTTGGTGCTCTGTCCCTTTCAGGGCAGCCAAGGCTACCAGCCAAGGCAGCCAAGGCCCAGCTTTAAGAAAGAAGCAGCAAAATGGCCGCCCAGCCAAAGCCAGACAGGTTGCTATCATAGATATAGAACCTAGAGGGTGCGCCTCCAATCTTTGCCATTGATCCATAGAGATGTAAAGAGGGCACACTGCCGATTGCCATTGATAGCTTCTGTGACAACAAGGCCAGAACCACTGAAGGCTAGCTCCATTTTAAAGTAGTGAATTATGTATTTGTTCTTTGTGTATTTCTATGAGTTGATTGACAGTTGGTAAACAACAGGGATAAAGCCATAGAGATGGATAGATAGTGGACAGACCCACCCACCCAAACACTAGACCCACCCACCCAAACACTTTCAGAAGAGAAAGTATAAGGTCACGTCCTGGAAAAGCAACAGATGTCTGTCTTCATCTGTGACTTCCCAGTGCAATCACAGCTAGAGCTCTGTAATCTTCTTACCGTCTGTTGGCACTGGCCTGGGCTTGCCAATTAATTGCTCTCTGACCTCCAGGGGACCCCATTGATTTTGTTAGTCACTCTCACTCAGATATCATATTAACATAAGTCATGGCAAAATGTGTAGAATTGCTGAAAATTAGCTTTAAAACTGCAAAGATTTCTCTCCACCCCATTGCAAAAATTGGTAGAATTGCAGGAAATTAGCTGCAAAACGGCCCCAAAAAAATCCATGCCCCATGGTAAAATGTGTAGAATTGCAGGAAATTAACATTAAAACCAGATTTTTTTCTCTACGCTCTAAAAAATGTTGCCCGCAGGGTGGGGGGTCCCCCAACCAAATCTCGCTAATGGGTCTCAAAAGGGTACATGTGTTCATGAGCTTGGGTCCCAGGAAAACACTGAATTTCTCATTTGTGTCCCAGGCTGAAAAAATTGAAGAACCCCTGGGTTAAAGGGCTGTTTGAGGAACTTAGAGTGGAGCTCCTCATTTTACCTGTTACATCTAGGTGGCAATTGTGTGATTTGGACGTTGTTTATTTGACATGCATGAATGTTTTAGTGTGATGTTCATACATACTGTCCTTCTTTTTACTTCTTCATTTGCCAGAGGAAGAGAAAACATAAGGTGCCTCTTTCTCTAACTAGTGGTCCTATTTGTGATTGGCCCCCTTAGTTCTCCCTTATTCCTTAGCATTAGATTATAGTCCAGTTGTACTATCAAGTAATGACCTGAAATTAATGCCGTAGCATGTACACACTGAAACGTTCCTTCAACTGTGTATTTTTGAGATACTTATTCATCCCATATTTTCCATGTATGTCTGTGTTCCATTTCTTCTGTTTTATGCCTTCTATTTTATTCATTGGAAAGTAGACAGTTTAAGTCATCAGTAGGGTAACTACTATCTACGTCATAACCTAAATTGGATACATTTTCTAGTCAATTTACTCAGTCTTTCCTTGTTCATTTAAAGGTAGTCTAATCTAAAGGGTTGATACCAGTACGGCAGAAATCCATTGGGTGGAATATAGTGGCTTAGAGAAAATAATGTTATTGTACATGTATTGTACTGAGCAATGAGAAATTAAGAAAATGGCTGCTTTGTGTTGTGATGTCCTCTGGGGAACTGAGTTGACAGCACAGATACATGAAAGGCAGAGCAGGTAGTCTGTCTGCTATGACATGATTCTGCTACTGTATGGATACAAACAATGGTTGCTAATGTGTTGTCTTCTCAACTCTCTCCGCTCTCTTCTCTAATCAAAAAGAAAAGAGAGGAGGGAGGGAGAGAGAGGAGAGAGAGAAGAGGGAGGGAGAAAGAGAGAGCGAAGAGAGGTATAGACAGAGAGGAGAGAGGAGAGAAGAAGAAGAGAAAGAAGAGAGAGAAAGAGAGGATAGGTTCTCTCTCTCTCTCTCTTCTTCTCTCGCGCTCTCTCTCTCTCCTCCTCCCTCTTCTTCTCTCGCGCTCTCTCTCTCTTCCCCTCCCCGTCTCTCTCTCTTCCTCTCTCTCTCTCTCTCTCTCTCTCCTCTCTCTCGCTCTTCTCTCTCTTCTCTCTCCACTGATCTCTCGTTCCCTCTCTCGCTGATTCTCTCTGTTTCCCCAACAGGACATCGACTGGGTGCAGACAGAGAAGCATGTGTTTGAGCAGGCGTCTACCAATCCGTTTTTAGTGGGCCTTCACTCCTGCTTTCAGACAGAGAGCCGGTAAGAGGCAGACAGAGCGTATGTCCCAAATGACACCCTATTCCCTATTTAGTGCACTACTTTTGACCAGAACCCTATGGGCCTTGGTCAAGAGTAGTGCACTATGTAGGAAATAGGGTGCCATTTGGGACGAGCCCAGATTCCAACATGTTGCTTTTTTACATTGAGAATGTGTTCTGAATGACATACCGTGGCTAAATAAAGGTAAAATGTATACATATTTCTGTAGTCGTCCCACTGGCCTTGGAACTAGGCAACTTAATCGCTCACCATTAGACCTCTGTTCATTTTCAGTGTGAAGTAAGAAACTACGGAGCTGTGGCTTCTGTGAATAGTGACGCATTCAATGACAGACTTCTCATTGTAACTTAAGAAATGTACAGTGGTAGTCAATTACAGGTAGGCCATGAGAGTGTTTACCGGAAGACCATGAACCATGACCAGTAAAACCAAACACAATGTTAAGAGGCATTGGGGACAGTCATTTTTACCCAGGCTTTTTTTACTGGGGGTTTTTAGCTCAAAAATTACTTTTGTGTAAAATAATTCACCAAGTTTCACGAAGACATTGATTGTTACAAAGAACTTAAGCAAGATAAATTATAATTCAATTGAATTGGCATTCAATTTCCATGCAGCCTCCCCTTGTACAATGACAATACTTGACTATTATTTGGGAAAATGGCAATCTTGGTGCAAGGGCCACAGGCTACGTTCGACCTTCAAACTCCATACTCCCAAGTATGTTTGTTTCCGAATGTCTTCTCCTTCCCTGTTATTCCGATTATAGGTTATTTCTCGTGATCGAGTACGTCAACGGAGGGGATCTGATGTTTCATATGCAACGGCAACGGAAACTACCAGAAGAACATGCGAGGTAAACAAACAAACAGACATCCTCCTCCAGTTCCTCCGGTACTTCAACAGCATACGGATAGAACCCGTCAATCAACCCTCATGGCTCTCTGCCATTTCCGCTATAAACTTATCAAATCAAATTTTATTTGCCACATGCGCCGAATACAACAGGTGTAGACATTACAGTGAAATGTTACTTAGCACTTAACCAACAATGCAGTTTTTAAGTTAAAAAAAAGCTAATAATTAAAGAGCAGCAGTAAAATAAAATAACAGTAGGGAGGCTATATACAGGGGGTACCGGTGCAGAGTCCATTTGTTTTGAGGAGGAATAGGCCCTATTAGCATCCCAACATGATGGGCACATCGGTGAAGTGGATGAAGTTGGCGGTATCGCCGTATTCTCAAGTCCCAATCTCTCAGTTCATCGCCACCGTCCTCTCTCTCTCTCTCTCTCTCTCTCTCTCTCTCTCTCTCTCTCTCTCTCTCTCTCTCTCTCTCTCTCTCTCTCTCTCTCTATTGCACATGGAATTTAACAAAGTGAGGGACAAGGAGAGGCCGAGACACTTCCTGAAATAGCATCGCTGAAGCTGTACGATGACACGCAAGCAGGCAGCCCTCATAATTGGATTTCGGTTAAGTTGACGTGGGGCTTGTTTTTTTCTCGTACAGAGAGTGCTGTTCAGGGAGAAACTGGCCTGGAACAGAAACAGCCTGTGATTAGTAGATTGGCACTATTTTGGGGCGGCTGCTGCAAAACCACTTTGATTTACTTTACTATATCTTAGGATCTCCTGTTTTGTTCCTATTTTTTTTCCGGATAAAGCTACTCTCCGTTTGACAGTCTGTTAGCGTTTCCGTGGAAGGGCAAGTCGAACAAAATTCTCCTGACGTGCTCTTTTGAAGAAAAAATGATCATTACGTTGGCAAAATATAATTAGCGCTCATAATTCATTGTGCCTGTCTATGTAGTTTCTCGGAGCACGCTGGTGATAAACTTGGATCAAAGGCAGGATATTTTAGAGAGGCAAGGGCCCCCACTGGCTCTCCATCTGTATGCAGTGGGCCCCAGCCCCGTCCATGCACAGCGGCATGGTTATCACCGATAATGATGGTACATATTCATGAGGCATGCTCTGAGAGGTCCCTGGGTGGGTTCCCCTGAGGGGGACGATGGTGGAGGTGGTGATGGTGGAGCTGACAAGATGAATGCACAACACCCAACACGCAACACTGCTCAGTGAAGCGCTGCTCTCTCTCAGTGCACTCTTTCTCTCTCTTTCTCTCTCTCTCTCTCTCTCTCTCTCGCTCTCTCTGTGCCCTCTCTCTCTCTCTGTGCCCTCTCTCTCGCTCCCTCTCTCTCTCTATGTGCCCTCTCTCTTTCAATTCAATTCAATTTCAATTCAATTTCAATTCAATTTAAGGGCTTTATTGGCATGGGAAACGTATGTTAACATTGCCAAAGCAAGTGAAGTAGATAGTAAACATTACACTCAGAAGTTCCAAAAGAATAAAGACATTTCAAATGTCATATTATGTCTATATACAGTGTTGTAACAATGTGCAAATAGTTAAAGTACAAATGGGAAAATAAATAAACATAAATATGGGTTGTATTTACAATGGTGTTTGTTCTTCACTGGTTGCCCTTTTCTTGTGTCAAAAGGTCACATATCTTGCTGCTGTGATGGCACACTGTGATTTTTCACCCAGTAGATAAGGGAGTTTATCAAAATTGGGTTTGTTTTCAAATTCTTTGTGGATCTGTGTTATCTGAGGGAAATATGTGTCTCTAATATGGTCACACATTTGGCAGGAGGTTAGGAAGTGCAGCTCAGTTTCCACCTCATTTTGTGGGCAGTGTGCATATAGCCTGTCTTCTCTTGAGAGCCAGGTCTGCCTACGGCGGTCTTTCTCAATAGCAAGGCTATGCTCACTGAGTCTGTATATAGTCAAAGCTTTCCTTAAGTTTGGGTCAGTCACAGTGGTCAGGTATTCTGCCACTGTGAACTCTCTGTTTAGGGCCAAATAGCATTCTAGTTTGCTCTGTTTTTTTGTTAATTCTTTCCAATGTGTCAAGTAATTCTCTTTTTCTTTTCTCATGATTTGGTTGTATCTAATTGTGTTGTTGTTGTTGTTGTCCTGGGGCTCTATGGGGTCTGTTTGTGTTTGTGAACAGAGCCCCAGGACCATCTTACTTAGGGGACTCTTCTCCAAGTTTATCTCACTGTAGGTGATGGCTTTGTTATGGAAGATTTGGGAATCGCTTCCTTTTAAGTGGTTATAGAATTTAACGGCTCTTTTCTGGATTTTGATAATTAGCGGATATTTTTGCAGAATTCTGCATGCAGAGTCTCAATTTGGTGTTTGTCCCATTTTGTGAATTATTGGTTGGTGAGCGGACCCCAGACCTCACAACCATAAAGGGCAATGGGTTCTATACTGATTCAAGTATTTTTATCCAGATCCTAATTGGTATGTCACATTTTATGTTCCTTTTGATGGCAGAGAAGGCCCTTCTTGCCTTGTCTCTCAGATCGTTCACAGCTTTGTGGAAGTTACCTGTGGCGCTGATGTTTAGGCCGAGGAATGTATAGTTTTTTGTGTGCTCTAGGGCAAGTGTCTAGATGGAATTTGTATTTGTGTTCCTGGCAACTGGACCTTTTTTGGAACACCATTATTTTTGTCTTACTGAGATTTACTGTCACGGCCCAGGTCTGACAGAATCTGTGCAGAAGATCTAGGTGCTGCTGTAGGCCCTGCTTAATTGGTGACAGAAGCACCAGATCATCAGCAAACAGTAGAGATTTGACTTCAGATTCTAGTAGGGTGAGGCCGGGTGCTGCAGACTATTCTAGTGCCCTCGCCAATTCGTTGATTTATATGTTGAAGAGGGTGGGGCTTAAACTGCATCCCTGTCTCACCCCACGGCCCTGTGGAAAGAAATGTGTGTGTTTTTTGCCAATTTTAACCACACACTTGTTGTTTGTGTACATGGATTTTATAAGGTTGTATGTTTTTCCCCCAACCCCACTTTCCATTAATTTGTATAGCAGACCCTCATGCCAAATTGAGTCAAAACTTTTTTTGAAATCAACAAAGCATGAAAAGACCTTGCCTTTGTTTAGTTTGTTTGTCAATTAGGGTGTGCAGGGTGAATACGTGGTCTGTCGTATGGTAATTTGGTAATAAAAAAACCAATTTGACATTGCTCAGCACATTGTTTTCATGAGGAGGAAATTAGCTAGTCTGCTGTTATGATACTGCAGAGGATTTTCCCCAAGGTTGCTGTTGACGCATATCCCACGCTAGTTATTGGGGTCAAATTTGTCTCCACTTTTGAGGATTGGGGTGATCAGTCCTTGGTTCCAAATATTGGGGAATATGCCAGAGCTAAGGATGATGTTAAAGAGTTTTATAGCCAATTGGAATTTGTGGTCTGTGTATTTTATCATTTCATTGAGGATACCATCAACCCCACATGCCTTTTTGGGTTGGAGGTTTGTATTTTGTCCTGTAGTTCATTCAATGTAATGGAGAATCTCTCGTGCTGTCTCTTCAAGAGGGGGAGAGAGAGAGGAGCGAGAGGGAGATAGCAGCGAGGCGCGGGCGTTTCAGGTGCGAGGGCGGGCTTTCTCTCCTTCTAGTTCTCTTTCCCTCTCCCTCTCCCTCTCCCCCTCTCTCTCTCTCTCCCTCTCTCTCTCTCTCTCTCTCTCTCTCTCTCTCAGTGCACTCTTTCTCTCTCGCTCACCCCAATCCACAAAAGTGGAGACAAATTTGACCCCAATAATTACCGTGGAACATGCGTCAGCAGCAATCTCATAAAAATCCCCTGCAGTATAATCAACAGCAGACTCCAACATTTTCTCAGTGAAACAATGTCCTGAGCAAATGTCAAATTGGCTTCTTACCAAAATACCATACGACAGACCCCGCACACACTTATTGACAAACAAACAAAACAAAACGAAAGTGAAGTCTTCTCATGCTTTGTTGATTTAAAAAATGCTTTTGACTCAATTTGGCATGAGGGTCTGCTATGCAAATTGATGGAAAGCAGTGTTGGGGGAAACCATATGAAATTATAAAATCAATGTACACAAACAACAAGTGTGCTGTTAAAATTGGCATTAAACACAGAATTCTTTCCTCAGGGCCGTGGGGTGAGACAGGGATGCAGCTTGAGCCCCACCCTCTTCAACATATATAATGTCAAAATCAATGAATTGGCGAGGGCACTAGAACAGTCGGCAGCACCTGGCCTCACCCTACTGGACTCAGAAATCACCTAGAGATGCACCTAGAGAAGTGTCGCCTCAGTCAGCTGGTTCTGGTGCTCTGTTCATAAACACAAACCAGACCCCACAGAGCACTAGGACAGAAACACATTTAGACCCAACCAAATTATGAGAAAGCAAAAAGATAACTATTTGACACACTGGAAAGAATCAACCAAAAAACAGAGCAAATTGGAATGCTATCTGGCCCTAAACAGAGAGTACACAGTGGCAGAATACCTGACCACTGTGACTGACCCAAACTTTAGGAAATCTTTGACTATGTACAGACTCAGTGAGCATAGCCTTGCTATTGAGAGAGGCCGCCATAGGCAGTCCTGGCTCTCAAGAGAAGACAGGGTATGTGCACACTGCCCACAAAATGAGGTGGAAACTGAGCTGCACTTTCTAATCTCCTGCCAAATGTATGACCATATTAGAGACACATATTTCCCACAGATCACACAGACCCACAAAGAATTTGAAAACAAATCAAAAATTGATAAACTCCCATATCTGTTAGGCGAAATACCTCAGTGTGCAGTCACATCAGCAAGATTTGTGGCCCGTTGCCATGCGAAAAGGGCAACTAGTGGAGCACAAAAAACATTGTAAATACAAGCTATATTTATCTGTTTATTTATTTTCCCTTTCATACTTCAACTATGTACACATTGTTACAACATAGCCAATAATATAACATTTAAAATGTCTATATTCTTTTAAAACTTTTGTGAGTGTAATGTTTACCCTTGCTTATTTCCCTTTTGTTTGTCTATTCCATTTGCTTTGGCAATGTAAACATATGTTTTCCATTCCAATAAAGCCCTTTGAATTGAATTGAATTGAATTGAATTGAATTGATAGATAGAAAGAGAGAGCACAGAGGGAGAGAGCACAGAGGGAGAGAGCACCCCACAGGGGAAAAAGAAGGCTATAGTGCACCAGAGAAATCAATACCATTTAAGCCCACCACGTCTCGCCATGCCAAATGTTAGACAGAGAATGTGAATATAAAAAAAATAATCACCTATTAATTAGAAACTACTTCCTGTATAAAAAATATACATACAACCGTATATGTTGGTTTCAGGATGGTTTCTACGTGGTCGAAGGTCAGAATGGAACTGTAAGTTGTACAAACTGTGTGACGAAGTCTGTTGGCTGGGAACTCTCTGAAGAAGGAAAAGCATGTCTGAATGAATCCCTATCTCCTTTCAGATTCTATGCTGCTGAAATTTGTATCGCTCTGAATTTCCTGCACGAAAAGGGAATCATCTACCGAGATTTGAAACTGGACAATGTCCTCTTGGATCACGAGGGACACATCAAGCTCACAGACTACGGGATGTGCAAGGTGAGACACTCAGAACTACTCTACTGTATACTGTTATAGGACTGCTGAACTGTTACCTCTGTGGGACTTCTCATTCATTATGTAGAAGTGGATCAATACACTAGGCATCGAAAGTCTCTCTCTCTTTTCTCTTTCTCTCGCTCGCTTTCCTACCATGTTTCTCTGTTATCTCATCCTCCGTCTCTCTTCATCTTTAACTATCTCTTGCTTTCTCTCTCCATGCTTCTCTGTTATCTCATCCTCCCTGTCTCTCTCCATCTTTAACTCTCTCTCTCTCTCTCTCTCTCTCTCTCTCTCTCTCTCTCTCTCTCTCTCTCTCTCTCTCTCTCTCTCTCTCTCTCTCTCTCTCTCTCTCTCTCTCTCTCTCTCTCTCTCTCTCTCCATGTTTCTCTCTCCTCCTCCATCTCTCCCCTCTATCAGGAGGGCATCAGACCTGGAGACACAACCAGTACATTCTGTGGAACCCCCAACTACATCGGCCCTGAGATCCTCAGAGGGGAAGACTACGGTGAGTCCCTCCCGTCAACAACACATACATGGAGGAAATGGGGAGAACTCTGGGAATTTGCCTTTTAGAAACTCCAAACAAAAAGTGAAAATAATGAACAGATCTCTGTCATTACCAAACTATTGCTGTCATTACCATACTATTGCTGTCATTACCAAACTATTGCTGTCATTACCAAACCATTGCTGTCATTACCAAACTATAGCTGAATCTAACCAAGATGGCTGAAGGTTGTCTGTCGTCTCTCTCCAGGGTTCAGTGTTGACTGGTGGGCATTAGGCGTGCTCATGTTTGAGATGATGGCCGGGAGGTCCCCGTTCGACATCATCACTGACAATCCTGACATGAACACAGAGGAGTACCTCTTCCAAGGTGAGAGAGCCCTCTACTACAGTTTTGAAGTGGATTAATAACAGCGCTTCTTACCTAATGTCTCAAAGTGCTTCACATTGTTAAGTGTGACGTCCACTACTACTACGCGATATGTAGCACCCACCTGGGTGATGCATGGTGGCCATTTTGTGTCAAAAACAACAAATGCTCTATCCACATTGGCTACTCACTCCTCCACTCAAGGGCATGATTATTCAGGATAGCAGTACTTCATATGTCTTTAAATGTCATACTGTGTATTTTGGTGCTCCAAACCCCCTCAGGCAGCACACAAACACACCACGTCTCTCAATACATTACTCATTTATTTATGTATTCTGTGTTATAAATCGATAAAGATTTGCACATAAAAAACAAGTATGAGACATTCGGACAGCTGGAGCAATACCACAGGAGAGCTAATTGCTTCTTGTATGACATATTTGTAGGCTACCAGACGTGTTAAGCCATATAAATATAATTGATTCAATGGTGATGCCCATTCTGGTTATTTTATTTGTATGTGTTATACTGTACTACAACCCACCCCATACCCTGCTGGAGCGAACATTCCTCCATACCTCCCCCCAGTCTCTCTCCACCGTACACACCTATGGCAGCTTGGGCATGGGCACTGAAACCCATGGGCATCTGCCAGCCCTTTGGTTTTCCTCACGCCCCCACAGGGCAAGCAGCATGCTCCTGGATGCCACCTCGCTAGCGGAAACCAACCCCTCTCTCCGTAGGGGGTGACCAGCCTTATGTCATCACCCTGACCAGTGCCAACCTCACCCTGGGCAACCCTGGCACACATGCCAACCCCCAGAACCATAGACTGACAAACAGAGTTTAGGGTTGGCATGGTGGTATCCAAAGTTCCACGACAATCAGGTTCTTGCGTTTAGGTTCTAAGCTAGTGAGAATGTTAGTGTCATGGAACATTTGGTGCCAACCTGGTGGTGGATAGTATTTGGCCAAGCTCTCTCTCTCTCTCTCTTTCTCTCTGTCTGTCTGTCTGCCTTTCCATCCATACTATGCTACACTGTACCATACTCTACCTCTCCCCAACCCTTCCTTCTGGCGACCACTAGACACATCACCATCAGTGTTCCTAACCCCTAACCCTGGCCCCAGGCCCCTGGCCCCAGGCCCCAGATAGTGGCCCCAGAAATCTGTCATTCTGCCCTTGAGCAAGGCAGTTAAACCCCCACAACAACAGCTCCCCGGGCGCTCAATGTGGCAGCCCCCCAACACACCTCTCCGTTTCAGAGGGGTTGGGTTAATAGCAGAAGTCAAGTATCGGTTGGACAGTAAAAATAAATGTAATTGAATTTAAACCCTAACGCTGGTGTTTACCCTAACCCGGGGTGCCATCAACATCACAAATAGAGTCTACGTCCCAAATGGCACTGGTCAAAAGTAGTGTACCAGATAGGGACTAGGGTGCCATTTGGTACACAGCCAGAGACTGATCCAGTTATCATTTCATTAGGACTCAGCGTAAACAAACAGATCAGAGAGGAAGAAGAGGAGGATAAACAGCACTCTTTACTCTTCCGTCTCTAATCTGTTCATCAGAGAGCCAGGGAAGTTAAACTGCGTTGCGTCTGCCTCGTCTGCTCCTAGACACGCAATGTTTGTTATGACTGCAGGGGGTGGGGTTTGAGGCCAATCAAGGATTTACTTGACCCGACAGAGAATACGTCCCAATAATCTGTCCTTTCTCCTGAAGTGTGCACTTGTACACTTCCCTTTATGGATTTAACAGGAAATAAGAAACTCCATGTAGCCCATGCCTACACCAATCCCATTTCTATTTATTTATATATGTGGGGAGGAATGAACATGTGCACGGCTCAGGAGGAAGGAGAGATTATAGGGACATACCCAGAGTGTCAGTGGGTCCAACTAACCAACAAGGTCAGCTGCTACGCAATACCACCAAACTGTTTCCCACTGTGGAAAACAGAACTTGCTGTACTACAGTGGGGCGGTACACTGGTGTGTCGAGCCTGTATCCAGCCTGTGTGCCACGAGTCTCAAGGCGGCACACGACTGAAGCAGTCACAGAAGAGCCTCCTCCTCTCTCTACTCCTCTCTCCTCCTCCTCCCCTTCAGCTCATACGCAGCAGACACGGGCAGGTTGGATGGTGAATCACCAATTGTTTGCCTCCCTCCCTCCGCAGGATTGTCCTCCCTCTCTCTTTCTCATGCATTCTCTCTCTCTCTGTCTTCTCCACACAGTTATTCTGGAAAAAACAATTCGCATCCCAAGGTCTCTGTCGGTAAAGGCTGCCAGCGTGCTGAAGGGCTTTTTAAACAAGGTGAGAGAAGGACACTGTAGTGTTCACCAAGTGCGTCCAATAAAGCGTCTCCCTCCCTCCCCCTCAGTGAAATCAGCCTGTGTAGGAACGTGGCCAAGACACTATTAGGACAGCACCATGACAGCCATTCTGTGAAGGCCATATCCATTTGGCCGAGAGACAGAGAGTGTGTGTGTTTGTGTGTGTGTTATGGATGTTTTTACTTGTGTACGTGTGTGTGTGTGTGTGCGTGCGTACGGCCATGTGTGTTTTGCTCACAGTGTCTGCGGTGACTTATGAGTGTATTTGTTTCTACATGTGTCAGTGTACCTGATATACATGGCTATAGTAAGACAGTATAGTGGAGAGTGAATGGCCTTGGAGCTTTTCACATTAAATCTTTGCTAGTTAGGGCGGTGATATTAAAATGATTGTACTGATGAAAATACCATAGCCCCACTGTTGGGCGTCAACAGATAGGCTAGCGTATTTCAGCTGTCAAGGAAATACTGGCTCCATTTAACAAAAACTACTACTCCGGATTACATTTCTAACAGAATAGTAGAAAATAGTAGCAAATGAATCAGCTGTAAATTAAATATAAAAATATAAAAATAAAAATATAGACTACCGGTCAAAAGTTTTAGAACACCTACTCATTCAAGGGGTTTTCTTTATTTTTACTATTTTCTACATTGTAGAATAATAGTGAAGACATCAACATTATGAAATAACACATATGAAATCATGTAGTAACCAAAAAAGTGTTAAACAAATCAAAATATATTTTATATTTGAGATTCTTCAAATAGCCACCATTTGCCTTGATGACAGCTTTGCACACTCTTGGCATTCTCTCAACCAGCTTCATGTGTTAGTCACCTGGAATGCATTTCAATTAACAGGTGTGCCTTCTTAAAAGTTAATTTGTGGAATTTCTTTCCTTCTTAATGCTTTTGAGCCAATCAGTTGTGTTGTGACAAGGTAAAGCGGGTATACAGAAGATAGCCCTATTTAGTAAAAGACCAAGTCCATATTATAGCAAGAACAGCTCAAATAATCAAAGAGAAACGACAGTCCATCATTACTTTAAGACATGAAGGTCAGTCAATATGGAACATTTCAAGAACTTTGAAAGTTTCTTCAAGTGCAGTCGCAAAAACCATCAAGCGCTATGATGAAACTGGCTCTCATGAGGACCGCCACAGGAAAGGAAGACCCAGAGTTACATCTGCTGCAGAGGATAAGTTCATTAGAGTTACCAGCCTCAGAAATTGCAGCCCAAATAAATGCTTCACAGAGTTCAAGTAACAGACACATCTCAACATCAACTGTTCAGAGGAGACTGTGTCAATCAGGCCTTCATGGTCGAATTGCTGCAAAGAAACCACTACTAATGGACACCAATAATAAGAAGAGACTTGCTTGGGCCAAGAAACACGAGTAATGGACATTAGACCGGTGGAAATGTGTCCTTTGGTCTGGAGTCCAAATTTGAGATTTCTTGTTCCAACCGCCGTGTCTTTGTGAGATGTGGTGTGGGTGAACGGATTATCTCCGCATGTGTATTTCCCACTATAAAGCATGGAGGAGGAGGTGTTATGGTGTGGGGGTGCTTTGCTGGTGACACTGTCTGTGATTTATTTAGAATTCAAGGCACACTTAACCAGCATGGCTACCACAGCATTCTGCAGCGATACACCATCCCATCTGGTTTGGGCTTAGTGGGACTATCATTTGTTTTTCAACAGGACAATGACCCAACACACCTCCAGGCTGTGTAAGGACTATTTCACCAAGAAGATTAGTGATGGAGTTCTGCATCAGATGACCTGGCCTCCACAATCCCCCGACCTCAACCAAATTGAGATGGTTTGGGATGAGTCGGACCGCTGAGTGAAGGAAAAGCAGCCAACAAGTGCTCAGCATATGTGGGAACTCCTTCAAGACTGTTGGAAAAGCATTCCAGGTGAAGCTGGTTGAGAGAATGCCAAGAGCGTGCAAAGCTGTAATCAAGGCAAAGGGTGGCTATTTGAAGAATCTCAAATATAAAATATATTTTGGTTTGTTTAACACTTTTCGGGTTACTACATGATTCCATATGTGTTATTTCATAGTTTTGATGTCTTCACTATTATTCTACAATGTAGAAAATAGGAAAAATAAAGAAAAACCCTCGAATGAGTAGGTGTTCTAAAACTTTTGACCGGCAGTGTATGTAAAGAAAATATTATATGATTGTGGAGTTACACTGTTAGTTCAATCGGTGACACGTGAATTGCTGGCAGCATAAGGAGTTAGTGCTTCTTTCATTGGTGATAATCAACTAGTTTTGGGATATTACAAGGGTGGAGGAATAGTGTAAGGGTTTGTTTGAGGGAAATACATACTGAACTTTGTGTTTAATTTGAGTAAATATTACATCTCTACATTATACCAAGATCACATTGCTGTAATTTGCTGTAATTGGTGCAATAAGCCACCTAGTTTTTCCCTAGCCACTGTTCTTCTTTCTGCCTCTGCACTGCTTGCTCTTTGGGGTTTTAGGCTGGGGATCTGTAAACCACATTGTGACAATTGCTGCTGTTAAAACCGGTTTATAAAATACATTTGAATTTAATTAATCACGTCAACTCTTGATTCTACTAATTTCTCTCTACCTAACAGGACCCCAAAGAGCGTCTGGGTTGCCAGGTCCAAACGGGCTTCACTGACATCAAGTCGCACACGTTTTTCCGCAGTATAGACTGGGACCAGGTAAGCCTCCAATCATATCCACTTAGCAGCGTAGAAAAAATAAATGTGAATAAACCCATCTTGGTCGGTCAGTATCACCTGTGGGAACCCATCTTGGTCGGTCAGTATCACCTGTGGGAACCCATCTTGGTCGGTCAGACACTCAGTATCACCTGTGGGAACCCATCTTGGTCGGTCAGTATCGCCTGTGGGAACCCATCTTGGTCGGCCAGTATCACCTGTGGGAACCCATCTTGGTCAGCCAGTATCACCTGTGGGAACCCATATTGGTCGGTCAGTATCACCTGTGGGAACCCATCTTGGTCAGCCAGTATCACCTGTGGGAACCCATCTTGGTCAGCCAGTATCACCTGTGGAAATCCATTTGGGTCAGTCAGTATCACCTGGGGGAACCCATCTTGGTCAGCCAGTATCACCTGTGGGAACCCATCTTGGTCAGCCAGTATCACCTGTGGAAATCCATTTGGGTCAGTCAGTATCACCTGGGGGAACCCATCTTGGTCGGTCAGACGGTCAGCATGTTACTTTGATTCCCATTATGTCTATTTTGCATTACTTCATGCTATAATGATGCTGTAATGATGCTATAATGATGGGTACACTATCCTTTATATCACCAATCTCATGAAAATGGTACAGAAGATACTTGCATGCTGACTGCAGGAATGTCCACCAGAGCTGTTGCCAGATAATTGAATGTTCATTTGTCTACCATAAGCCGCCTCCAACGTCGTTTTAGAGAATTTGGTAGTACGTCCAACCAGCCTCACAACCGCAGACCACGTGTAACCATGCCAGCCCAGGACCTCCACATCCGGCTTCTTCACCTGCGTGATCGTCTGAGAACAGCCACCCAGACAGCTGATGAAACTGAGGAGTATTTCTGTCTGTAAAAAAGCCCTTTTGTGGGGAAACATTTTTTCTGATTGGCTGGGCCTGGCTCCTCAGTGGGTGGGCATGGCTCCCAAGTGGGTGGGCCTATGCCCTCCCAGGCCCACCCATGGCTGCGCCCCTGCCCAGTCATGTGAAATCCATAGATTAGGGCCTTATATGAACTGTAACTCCGTAAAATCATTGAAATTGTTGCATGTTGCATTTACATTTTTGTTCAGTATAGTTATTGGGGGGTGAAACAATATTTACTCTTATTGCTAATGGTTAATTATAGCTCAAGGCATTTTCGATGGCATGACTTTGTTAACTTCGACAACTAGGAAGTTTTCCGTCTGATTCCTTCCGGGTCATTTCCCTCAGCAATCAGCCCATGTAACTACTGTATTAACTAACCAGTGTTGGAGAGGAGGGCTCTTAGGGAGCTAAATGAATGGAGCACACAGACACAGGGTGTTAACCCACCACTGTGTAGAACACATTGACTGCCTCCTCTTTGTAGCTCCACCACAAATAAAAGTTAATTCTAAATGATGCACATGCACCATCGAACAGAAACTCTGTGTGTGTGTTGAGGGGAGGTTGCGTAATTGATTGTGTACAGCTGACACACACAGCTATTTGAAAGCAACGTGGAAGTGGGAGCTAGGCCAATGCAATATTACAGTGAGGTCCAAAAGTATTTGGACAGTGACACCTTTTTGTTGTTGTTTTGGCTTTGCACTCAAAGCACTTAGGATTTGAAATCATACAATGACTATGAGGTTAAAGTGCAGACTGTCAGCTTTAATTTGAGTGTATTTTGAAAGTTACAGAGGCATAAATATCATACCCCCTGAAAAATGCTAACCTCCCCTGATATTGGTAATGGTGAGAGGTTAGCATGTCTTGGGGGTATGATATAAAATGCTAACCTCCCCTGATATTGGTAATGGTGAGAGGTTAGCATGTCTTGGGGGTATGATATAAAATGCTAACCTCCCCTGTTATTGGTAATGGTGAGAGGTTAGCATGTCTTGGGGGTATGATCTTTGACCCTTCTGTAACTTTCTCACTCATCATTATTCACGATTCATTCGGGTTTATCCGTAATCATGGTAGCATCCACATTAATGTAGAAGTGTTTAGAAACATATTCTATACTTATTTACAATACAAATGACTCCAAAAGGACACAATATGTATGTATAAAAAGTGCTATAATTTCTAAACGGTTCACCTCATAGTAATTGTATGATTTCAATCCCTAAGTGCTGGAGTACAGAGCCCAAAAACAAAACAAAATTGTCAAAGTCCAAATACTTGCTCATACACGGTGACCGGGACAGGATTCTGTGTTTCAGCACATTATTAGTTTGTAGTCAAAGCCTCTCCTGTATATTCAACACAAACGAGGGGAAATGCCTTGTTCACAGCAGTGCCTCCTTTTCTGTGAGATGCTTCTGGCAATATCAATTATCTATAGAATATGTCAGTCAACAGCATGCATCTTGTGAGGAAAAGCAGTATAACTAGATTATAACCAACTGGTCTCTGTTGCGATCATGTTTAGATTTATTTTTTCATGACGAGACCAAGACATCATGGGAAAGACATTATCTTCTGGTTGTTATCTGGTCAGATTACAACCAGATAACAACCAGATAAAGATGTACAGTACCAGTCAAAAGTTTTAGAACACCTACTCATTCCAGGGTTTTTCTTTATTTTTACTATTTTCTACATTGTAGAATAATAGTGAAGACATCAAAACTATGAAATAACACAGATGGAATCATGTAGTAACCAAAAAAGTGTTAAACAAATGTATTTTATATTTGAGATTCTTCAAATAGCCACCCTTTGCCTTGATGACAGCTTTACCCACTCTTGGCATTCTCTCAACCAGCTTCATGAGGTAGTCACCGGAATGTATTTCCTTCTTAATGCATTTGAGCCAATCAGTTGTGTTGTGACAAGGTAGGGGGGGGGGGGGGTATACATTTACATTTAAGTCATTTAGCAGACGCTCTTATCCAGAGCGACTTACAGTTAGTGAGTGCATACATTTTTCATACTGGCCCCCCGTGGGAATCGAACCCACAACCATGGCGTTGCAAACGCCATGCTCTACCAACTGAGCTACACGGGGCCTATACAGAAGATAGCCCTATTTGGTAAAATACCAAGTCCATATTATGGCAAGAACAGCTCAAATAAGCAAAGAGAAACAACAGTCCATCATTACTTTAAGACATGAAGGTTAGTCAATACGGAGCATTTGAAGAATCAAGCGCTATGATGAAACTGGCTCTCATGAGGACTGCGACAGGAATGGAAGACCCAGAGTTAACTCTGCTGCAGAGGATTATAGTTCATTAGAGTTACCAGCCTCAGAAATTGCAGCCCAAATAAATGCTTCACAGAATTCAAGTAACAGACACATCTCAACATCAACTGTTCAGAGGGGACTGTGTGAATCAGGCCTTCATGGTCAAATTGCTGCAAAGAAACCACTACTAATGGCCACCAATAAGAAGAAGAGACCTGCTTGGACCAAGAAACACGAGCAATGGACATTAGACCGGTGGAAATGTGTCCAAATTGGAGATTTTTGGTTCCAACCGCCGTGTCTTTGTGAGACGCGGTGTGGGTGAACGGAGGATCTCCGCATCTGTATTTCCCACCGTAAAGCATGGAGGAGGAGGTCTTATGGTTTGGGGGTGCTTTGCTGGTGACACTGTCTGTGATTTATTTAGAATTCGAGGCACCCTTAACAAGCATAGCTACCACAGCATTCTACAGCGATACGCCATCCCATCTGGTTTGGGCTTAGTGGGACTATCATTTGTTTTTCAACAGGACAATGACCCAACACACCTCCAGGCTGTGTAAGGGCTATTTGACCAAGAAGGAGAGTGATGGAGTGCTGCATCAGATGACCTGGCCTCCACAATCCCCCAACCTCAACCCAATTGAGATGGTTTGGGATGTCGGACCGCAGAGTGAAGGAAAAGCAGCCAACAAGTGCTCAGCATATGTGGAAACTCCTTCAAAACTGTTGGGAAAGCATTCCAGGTGAAGCTGGTTGAGAGAATGCCAAGAGCATGCAAAGCTGTCATCAAGGCAAAGGGTGGCTATTTTAAAATATATTTTGATTTGTTTAAAACTTTTTTGTTTGCTACATGATTCCATGTTTTATTTAATAGTTTTGATATCTTCACTATTATTCTGCAATGTAAAAAATAGTAAAAAGAAAAGAAAAACCCTTGAATGAGTAGGTGTGTCCAAACTTTTGACTGGTTAGTGTATTTTTCGAGTTGCAAAAAAAACATAATGGCATCACTTCAACATCTTTTGTCCGCTGGTTTAGTAACTTCTACCTCCTGACTATGATCCTAACCAGTCTTATCAGATACATTCTGCAAAGGTGGATTGCGGAAGGGTAGATGGGAGGGAACATCTTAATGGAATGAAGTGCAGCCTGTGTCCCTGACGTCAAGCTCGGCACTGTGACGTCAAGCTCGACACTGTGCCAGCTTATCCTGTGGGAGGATCAGAACCTCTGCAGCAGTAACCAGCTGCAGCATCGTGGCTCTTACCAGAGATACAGTGGAGCATCGTAACCCACTGCAAGAGGATTAGAGGCAGGCAGTGATTAGATAACTGGTCTAGACAGACAGACAGATACCCTGGCGTGATTTCTCTTCACTAAATAGGCTCAAGCCTACAGTGGAACATAACGTTCATGCCCCAAAGTCAAAGATACAAAGCCGTGGGTAAGTCTCTCTTGGCCCATAGTGGTCTTTGGCGATATACCATTCATACCGGGGTATTTCTAAATACAGAAGGTATGATTTTTATTAAGAAATCTAAGATCAGGGTTTCCAGCTATGCATTTGTTTTGCTAACTTGCTATCTATGGGGCTAGATGTCAAGATTAGGGTTCTTGGTTACAGCAGAGACATTCAATCCCCTCCTGGATCAAGATCCCTGTTGCCTTAATAGTTTTTTAGGGAAATGGCGCCCCATGTGTTCACATTCGGTAATACCGTATATACCCCGGTATGGTACAGAAATGGTATGACAGTATGAAAATCTGGATACCGCCCAACCCTAGCCCATAGACTTCTTTGGTCTAAAATACTAAACTTGTCCTTTAATAAATTATCTCCCAATAGTTCAAAGTATCAGATTTGTCATGCAGGCAATGGAAATAAATTGTGTGAAGTGTCATCTTGACGTCTAGCCACATTTTCATCTATATTCTTCGTAGCTGTCTATTTACCACCCCAAACCGATGCTGGCACTAAGACCGCACCCAATGAGCTGTATTCTGCCATAAGCAAACAGGAAAACGCTCATCCAGAGGCGGCGCTCCTAGTTGTCGGGGACTTTAATGCAGGGAAACTTAAATCAGTTTTACCTCATTTCTACCAGCATGTTAAATGTGCAACCAGAGGGGAAAAAAACTCTAGACCACCTTTACTCCACACACAGAGACGCATACAAAGCTCTCCCGCTCCTCCATTTGGCAAATCTGACCATAATTCTATCCTCCTGATTCCTGCTTACAAGCAAAAACTAAAGCAGGAAGCACAGTGACTCGGTCAAAAAAAAAGTGGTCAGATGAAGCAGATGCTAAGCTACAGGACTGTTTTGCTAGCACAGACTGGAATATGTTCCGGGATTCTACCGATGGCATTGAGGAGTACACCACATCAGTCACTAGCTTCGTCAATAAGTGCATCGATGACGTCGTCCCCACAGTGACTGTACGTACATACCCAAACCAGAAGCAATGGATTACAGGCAACATCCGCACTGAGCTAAAGGGTAGAGCTGCTGCTTTCAAGGAGCGGGTCTCTAACCCGGAACCTTATAAGAAATCCCGCTATGCCCTCTGACGAACCATCAAACAGGCAAAGCGTCAATACAGGACTAAGATCGAATCGTACTACACCAGCTCTGACGCTCGTCGGATGTGGCAGGGCTTGCAAACTATTACGGACTACAAAGGGAAGCAGAGCCGCGAGCTGCCCAGTGACACGAGCATACCAGATGAGCTAAATTACTTTTATACTCGCTTCAAGGCAAGTAACACTGAAACATGCATGAGAGCATCAGCTGTTCCGGACGACTGTGTGAACACGCTCTCCGTAGTTGATGTGAGTAATACCTTTAAACAGGTCAACATTCACAAGGCCGCAGGGCCAGACGGATTACCAGGACGTGTACTCTGAGCATGCGCTGACCAACTGGCAAGTGTCTTCACTGACATTTTCAACCTCTCCCTGTCTGAGTCTGTAATACCAACATGTTTCAAGTAGACCACCATAGTCCCTGTGCCCAAGAACACTAAGGTAACCTGCCTAAATGACTACCGACCCGTAGCACTTACGTCTGTAGCCATGAAGTGCTTTGAAAGGCTGGTCATGGCTCACATCAACACCATTATCCCAGAAACCCTAGACCCACTCCAATTTGCATACCGCCCCAACAGATCCACAGATGATGCAATCTCTATTGCACTCCACACTGCCCTTTTACACCTGGACAAAAGGAACACCTATTTGAGAATGCTATACATTGACTACAGCTCAGTTTTCAACACCATAGTGCCCTCAAAGCTCATCACCAAGCTAAGGACCCTGGGACTAAACACCTCCCTTTGCAACTGGATCCTGGACTTCCTGACGGGCTGCCCCCTGGTGGTAAGGGTAGGTAAAAACACATCCGCCACGCTGATCCTCAACACGGGGGCCCCTCAGGGGTGTGTGCTCAGTCCCCTCCTGTACTCCCTGTTAACTCATGACTGCATGGCCAGGCACGACTCCAACACCATCATTAAGTTTGCCGATGACACAACAGTGGTAGGCCTGATCACCGACAAAGACGAGACAGCCTATAGGGAGGAGGTCAGAGACCTGGCCCTGTGGTGCCAGGACAACAACCTCTCCCTCAACGTGATCAAGACAAAGGAGATGATTGTGGACTACAGGAAAAAGAAGAGGACCGAGCACGCCCCCATTCTCATCGACGGGGCTGTAGTGGAGCAGGGTGAGAGCTTCAAGTTCCTTGGTGTCCACATCACCAACAAACTAACATGGTCCAAGCACACCAAAACAGTCGTGAAGAGGGCATGACAAAACCTATTCCCCCTCAGGAGACTGAAAAGATTTGGTATGGGTTCTCAGATCCTCAAAAGCTTCTACAACTGCACCATCGAGAGCATCCTGACTGGTTGCATCACTGCCTGGTATGGCAACTGCTCGGCCTCCGACCGCAAGGCACTACAGAGGGTAGTGTGTACGGCCCAGTACATCACTGGGGCCAAGCTTCCTGCCATCCAGGACCTCTATACCAGGCAGTGTCAGAGGAAGGCCCTAAAAATTGCCAAAGACTCCAGCCGCCCTAGTCAGACTGTTCTCTCTGCTACCGCACGGCAAGCGGTACTGGAGCGCCAAGTCTAGGTCCAAGGGGCTTCTAAACAGCTTCTACCCCCAAGCCATAAGACTCCTGAACATCTAATCAAATGGCTACCCCCCTCCTTTTACGCTGCTGCTACTCTCTGTTTATTATCTATGCATAGTCACTTTAATAACTCTACCTACATGTACAGTGGGGAGAACAAGTATTTGATACACTGCCGATTTTGCACGTTTTCCTACTTACAAAGCATGTAGAGGTCTGTAATTTTTATCATAGGTACACTTAAAACTGTGAGAGACGGAATCTAAAACAAAAATCCAGAAAATCACATTGTATGATTTTTAAGTAATTCATTTGCATTTTATTGCATGACATAAGTATTTGATACATCAGAAAAGCAGAACTTCATAATTGGTACAGAAACCTTTGTTTGCAATTACAGAGATCATACGTTTCCTGTAGGTCTTGACCAGGTTTGCACACACTGCAGCAGGGATTTTGTCCCACTCCTCCATACAGACCTTGTCCAGATCCTTCAGGTTTCGGGGCTGTCGCTGGGCAATACGGACTTTCAGCTCCCTCCAAAGATGTTCTACTGGGTTCAGGTCTGGAGACTGGCTAGGCCACTCCAGGACCTTGAGATGCTTCTTACGGAGCCACTCCTTAGTTGCCCTGGCTGTGTGTTTCGGGTCATTGTCATGCTGGAAGACCCAGCCTCGACCCATCTTCAATGCTCTTACTGAGGGAAGGAGGTTGTTGGCCAAGATCTTGCGATACATGGCCCCATCCATCCTCCCCTCAATATGGTGCAGTCGTCCTGTCCCCTTTGCAGAAAAGCATCCCCAAAGAATGATGTTTCCACCTCCATGCTTCACGGTTGGGATGGTGTTCTTGGGGTTGTACTCATCCTTCTTCTTCCTCCAAACACGGCGAGTGGAGTTTAGACCAAAAAGCTCTATTTTTGTCTCATCAGACCACATGACCTTCTCCCATTCCTCCTCTGGATCATCCAGATGGTCATTGGCAAACTTCAGACGGGCCTGGACATGCGCTGGCTTGAGCAGGGGGACCTTGCGTGCGCTGCAGGATTTTAATCCATGACGGCGTAGTGTGTTACTAATGGTTTTCTTTGAGACTGTGGTCCCAGCTCTCTTCAGGTCATTGACCAGGTCCTGCCGTGTAGTTCTGGGCTGATCCCTCACCTTCCTCATGATCATTGATGCCCCACGAGGTGAGATCTTGCACGAGGTGAGACCCCCAGACTGAGGGTGATTGACCGTCATCTTGAACTTCTTCCATTTTCTAATAATTGCGCCAACAGTTGTTGCCTTCTCACCAAGCTGCTTGCCTATTGTCCTGTAGCCCATCCCAGCCTTGTGCAGGTCTACAATTTTATCCCTGATGTCCTTACACAGCTCTCTGGTCTTGGCCATTGTGGAGAGGTTGGAGTCTGTTTGATTGAGTGTGTGGACAGGTGTCTTTTATACAGGTAACGAGTTCAAACAGGTGCAGTTAATACAGGTAATGAGTGGAGAACAGGAGGGCTTCTTAAATAAAAACTAACAGGTCTGAGAGAGCCGGAATTCTTACTGGTTGGTAGGTGATCAAATACTTATGTCATGCAATAAAATGCAAATGAATTACTTAAAAATCATACAATGTGATTTTCTGGATTTTTGTTTTAGATTCCGTCTCTCACAGTTTTAAGTGTACCTATGATAAAAATTACAGACCTCTACATGCTTTGTAAGTAGGAAAACCTGCAAAATCGGCAGTGTATCAAATACTTGTTCTCCCCACTGTATACGCATATACAGTGGGGGAAAAAAAGTATTTAGTCAGCCACCAATTGTGCAAGTTCTCCCACTTAAAAAGATGAGAGAGGCCTGTAATTTTCATCATAGGTACACGTCAACTATGACAGACAAAATGAGATTGTTTTTTCCCAGAAAATCACATTGTAGGATTTTTAATGAATTTATTTGCAAATTATGGTGGAAAATAAGTATTTGGTCAATAACAAAAGTTTCTCAATACTTTGTTATATACCCTTTGTTGGCAATGACACAGGTCAAACGTTTTCTGTAAGTCTTCACAAGGTTTTCACACAATGTTGCTGGTATTTTGGCCCATTCCTCCATGCAGATCTCCTCTAGAGCAGTGATGTTTTGGGGCAGTCGCTGAGCAACACAGACTTTCAACTCCCTCCAAAGATTTTCAATGGGGTTGAGATCTGGAGACTGGCTAGGCCACTCCAGGACCTTGAAATGCTTCTTACGAAGCCACTCCTTTGTTGCTCGGGCGGTGTGTTTGCGATCATTGTCATGCTGAAAGACCCAGCCACGTTTCATCTTCAATGCCCTTGCTGATGGAAGGAGGTTTTCACTAAAAATCTCACGATACATGGCCCCATTCATTCTTTCCTTTACACGGATCAGTCGTCCTGGTCCCTTTGCAGAAAAACAGCCCCAAAGCATGATGTTTCCACCCCCATGCTTCACAGTAGGTATGGTGTTCTTGGATGCAACTCAGCATTCTTTGTCCTCCAAACACGACGAGTTGAGTTTTTACCAAAAAGTTATATTTTGGTTTCATCTGACCATATGACATTCTCCCAATCCTCTTCTGGATCATCCAAATGCATTCTAGCAAACTTCAGACGGGCCTGGACATGTACTGGCTTAAGCAGGGGGACACGTCTGGCACTGCAGGATTTGAGTCCCTGGCGGCGTAGTGTGTTACTGATGGTAGGCTTTGTTACTTTGGTCCCAGCTCTCTGCAGGTCATTCACTAGGTCCCCCCGTGTGGTTCTGGGATTTTTGCTCACCGTTCTTGTGATCATTTTGACCCCACGGGGTGAGATCTTGCGTGGAGCCCCAGATCGAGGGAGATTATCAGTGGTCTTGTATGTCTTCCATTTCCTAATAATTGCTCCCACAGTTGATTTCTTCAAACCAAGCTGCTTACCTATTGCAGATTCAGTCTTCCCAGCCTGGTGCAGGTCTACAATTTTCTTTCTGGTGTCCTTTGACAGCTCTTTGGTCTTGGCCATAGTGGAGTTTGGAGTGTGACTGTTTGAGGTTGTGGACAGGTGTCTTTTATACTGAAAACAAGTTCAAACAGGTGCCATTAATACAGGTAACAAGTGGAGGACAGAGGAGCCTCTTAAAGAAGAAGTTACAGGTCTGTGAGAGCCAGAAATCTTGCTTGTTTGTAGGTGACCAAATACTTATTTTCCACCATAATTTGCAAATAAATTCATTAAAAATCCTACAATGTGATTTTCTGGATTTTTTTTCTCAATTTGTCTGTCATAGTTGACGTGTACCTATGATGAAAATTACAGGCCTCTCTCATCTTTTTAAGTGGGAGAACTTGCACAATTGGTGGCTGACTAAATACTTTTTTTCCCTACTGCATGTCGGAAAACAATCAGTTAAAAATTCCTCTGTCCTAGTTAAAAACAAGTTATCATCCAATAGGCTTTGATTACATTTCCAATATCCTCGCCCACGTGGAAATTCAGTAAGAGTAATGTATATGCCAATTATATGATGGTCCGACCGCATTTTGTCCCCTATCAACACTTTTTAAACTTTTGGTGCCAACGAGAATGACATAAGAAAGAAGTCAAGACGACTAGCTTGATTGAGTCTCTGCCATGTATATCTCACTAGATCAGGATATTTAAGCCTCCATATATCTACTCGTTCTGATGTATCCATGACATTCACGATTTCCTTAAGAGCATGAGGGTGATTGTTTGTTTGTAGTGTGATTTCCTTTACGGTCCATTGAGCTATTTAAAACGGTATTATAATCTCCCACCATAATAATAGAGTCTTGAATTGCTTGCAAGGTCGATCATTTATTATATACATTTTCAAAGAAGTGTGAAACCTCCATGTTAAAAAGCTTGTCGAAGCTGTGACGGCGTACCGCTGTGTGCCTCAGTGTCTGTGGGGAGTAGAAGGTGTGGAATTCGTACACGCCGCAAGAAACGTAGCTGTCTCGGGCCTTGACAGAACTCCCGGGCTCGGTGCAGCTCTTTGACTGCCGTTGTTTAAGCATATTAATATTAATCACAACACAGGCTCCTAAGGGAGCGCTTGCTTTCCCTCTGAAGCGGTGACACCTTTGAATATAATTTACCTCATGCTCTTTTTTATTGTTTGTGTTTTGAACAACACCAACCTGCCAGAGAGTGAGAGCTGTCAACCTGATGCTTTTTTTGTAGTTGTTGAGGCGTGAGACATGTTCTTCAGTCACGATAGTGTCTTAGCATTTGCTGTCACATGTTGCCATCTAGAAATAAAATATTGCAGACTGTGCCAGAGTGTAGCAAGAGAGTGGTTCAGAATGCAGATGGTTGCCATTTTCCTTTGTTGATAAATGAAGATCTAAATGAGATATGAACTAGCACTACCCATCTCTGCTGTTGATTAGTAATTAGTCCTGCCATATCAGCAGCTGCGTTCTCACTCTTGTCCTGGCTGCTGTGGCGATGAACAACATCATCATCACCTTGCCCCTCTGGAGTCCTCCGTATCACACTCATACACTCTCTCTCTCTCTCTCTCTCTCTCTCTCTCTCTCTCTCTCTCGCTCTCTGTCTCTCTCTCTCTCTCTCTCTCTCTCTCTCTCCTCTCTCTCTCTCTCTCAATTTCAATTCAATTCAATTTAAGGGCTTTATTGGCATGGGAAACGTGTGTTAACATTGCCAAAGCAAGTGAAGTAGATAGTAAACAAAAGTGAAATAAACAACAAATATTAACAGTAAACATTACACTCAGAAGTTTCAAAAGAATAAAGACATTTCAAATGTCATATTATGTCTATATACAGTGTTGTAACAATGTGCAAATAGTTAAAGTACAAATGGGAAAATAAATAAACATAAATATGGGTTGTATTTACAATGGTGTTTGTTCTTCACTGGTTCCCCTTTTCTTGTGGCAACAGGTCACAAATCTTGCAGCTGTGATGGCACACTGTGGTTTTTCACCCAGTAGATAAGGGAAATTGGGTTTGTTTTCAAATTCTTTGTGGATCTGTGTAATCTGAGGGAAATATGTGTCTCTAATATGGTCATACATTTGGCAGGAGGTTAGGAAGTGCAGCTCAGTTTCCACCTCATTTTGTGGGCAGTGTGCACATAGGCAGACCTGGCTCTCAAGAGAAGACAGGCTACGACGGCCTTTCTCAATAGCAAGGCTATGCTCACTGAGTCTGTACATAGTCAAAGCTTTCCTTAAGTTTGGGTCAGTCACAGTGGTCAGGTATTCTGCCACTGTGTACTCTCTATTTAGGGCCAAATAGCATTCTAGTTTGCTCTGTTTTTTTTGTTTGTTCTTTCCAATGTGTCAAGTAATTCTCTTCTTGTTTTCTCATGATTTGTTTGGGTCCAATTGTGTTGTTGTTGTTGTCCTGGGGCTGTGTGGGGTCTGTTTCTGTTTGTGAACAGAGCCCCAGGACAAGCTTACTTAGGGGACTCTTCTCCAAGTTCATCTCTCTGTAGGTGATGGCTTTGTTATGGAAGGTTTGGGAATCGCTTCCTTTTAAGTGGTTATAGAATTTAACGGCTCTTTTCTGGATTTTGATAATTAGCGGGTATTGGCCTAATTCTGCTCTGCATGCATTATTTGGTGTTTTACGTTGTACACGGGGGATGTTTTTGCAGAATTCTGCATGCAGAGTCTCAATTTGGTGTTTGTCCCATTTTGTGAATTCTTGGTTGGTGAGCGGACCCCAGACCTCAGAACCATAAAGGGCAATGGGTTCTATAACTGATTCAAGTATTTTTATCCAGATCCTAATTGGTATGTCACATTTTATATTCCTTTTGATGGCAGAGAAGGCCCTTCTTGCCTTGTCTCTAAGATCGTTCACAGCTTTGTGGAAGTTACCTGTGGCGCTGATGTTTAGGCCGAGGTATGTATAGTTTTTTGTGTGCTCTAGGGCAACGGTGTCTAGATGGAATTTGTATTTGTGGTCCTGGCAACTGGACCTTTTTTGGAACACCATTATTTTTGTCTTACTGAGATTTACTGTCAGGGCCCAGGTCTGACAGAATCTGTGCAGAAGATCTATGTGCTGCTGTAGGCCCTCCTTGGTTGGTGACAAAAGCACCAGATCATCAGCAAACAGAAAACATTTGACTTCAGATTCTAATAGGGTGAGGCCGGGTGCTGCAGACTGTTCTAGTGCCCTCGGCAATTCGTTGATATATATGTTGAAGAGGGTGGGGCTTAAACTGCATCCCTGTCTCACCCCACGGCCCTGTGGAAAGAAATGTGTGTGTCTTTTGCTAATTTTAACCGCACACTTGTTGTTTGTGTACATGGATTTTATATAATGTCGTATGTTTTTTCCCCAACCCCACATTCCATCAATTTGTATAGCAGACCCTCATGCCAAATTGAGTCAAAAGCTTTTTTGAAATCAACAAAGCATGAGAAGACTTTGCCTTTGTTTTGGTTTGTTTGTTTGTCAATTAGGGTGTGCAGGGTGAATACGTGGTCTGTCGTACGGTAATTTGGTAAAAAGCCAATTTGACATTTGCTCAGTACATTGTTTTCACTGAGGAAATGAACTAGTCTGCTGTTAATGATAATGCAGAGCATTTTCCCAAGATTGCTGTTGACGCATATCCCACGGTAGTTATTGGGGTCAAATTTGTCTCCACTTTTGTGGATTGGGGTGATCAGTCCTTGGTTCCAAATATTGGGGAAGATGCCAGAGCTAAGGATAATGTTAAAGAGTTTAAGTATAGCTAATTGAAATTTGTGGTCTGTATATTTTATCATTTCATTGAGGATACCATCAACACCACAGGACTTTTTGGGTTGGAGGGTTTGTATTTTGTCCTGTAGTTAATTCAATGTAATTGGAGAATCCAGTGGGTTCTGGTAGTCTTTAATAGTTGATTCTAAGATTTGCATTTGATCATGTATATTTTGTTGCTGTTTGTTCTCTGTTATAGGGCCAAAAAGATTGGAGAAGTGGTTTACCCATACATCTCCGTTTTGTCTCTCTCTCTCTCGCTCTCTGTCTCTGTCTCTGTCTCTCTCTCTCTCTCTCTCTCTCTCTCTCTCTCTCTCTCTCTCTGTCTCTCTATGTCTCTCTTTCTCTTTCTCTCTCTCTCTTTCTCTGTCTCTCTCTCTCTCGCTCTCTCCCCTCTCTCCCTCTCTTTCGCTCTCTCTCACACACACTCGTACACACACATACAGACATGCACACAAACACACACACACACTCGCGCACACACACATGCATTCACTCACTCTCTCGCACACACATACACTCGCAAGCACACCCACACACGCTCACTCCTCTCGCTCTCTCTCTCTCTCTCTCTCTCTCTCTCTCTCTCTCTCTCTCTCTCTCTCTCTCTCTTCTCTCTCTCTCTCTCTCTCTCTCTCTCTCTTCTCTCTCTCCCGTCACAGACACAGGCCACGTCAGACAGTGCTGCTCCCCCTTTCAAGCCCCCTCGGGCCACTTTCTCTAGGAGGATAGAGCAGAGCTAAGACACTGGGGCCACTTCCTCTCTGAGTAGGAGAGAGCAGAGCCAAGGCCCCGGGCCACTTCCTCTCTGAGTAGGATAGAGCAGAGCTAAGGCCCTGGAACCACTTCCTCTCTGAGTAGGAGAGAGCAGAGCTAAGGCCCCGGGGCCACTTCCTCTCTGAGTAGGATAGAGCAGAGCCAAGGCCCCGGGCCACTTCCTCTCTGAGTAGGAGAGAGCAGAGCCAAGGCCCCATTGCCACTTCCTCTCTGAGTAGGAGAGAGCAGAGCCAAGGCCCCGGGCCACTTCCTCTCTGAGTAGGAGAAGGCAGAGCCAAGGCCCCGGGGCCACTTCCTCTCTGAGTAGGAGAGAGCAGAGCTAAGGCCCCGGGGCCACTTCCTCTCTGAGTAGGAGAGAGCAGAGCTAAGGCACTGGGGCCACTTCCTCTCTGAGTAGGATAGAGCAGAGCCAAGGTCCTGGGGCCACTTCCTCTCTGAGTAGGAGAAAGTAGAGCCAAGGCCCCGGGGCCACGTCCTCTCTGAGTAGGAGAGAGCAGAGCCAAGTCCCCGGGCCACTTCCTCTCTGAGTAGGATAGAGCAGAGCCAAGGCCCCGGGCCACTTCCTCTCTGAGTAGGAGAAGGCAGAGCCAAGGCCCCGGGGCCACTTCCTCTCTGAGTAGGAGAAAGCAGAGCCAAGGCCCCGGGGCCACTTCCTCTCTGAGTAGGAGAGAGCAGAGCTAAGGCACTGGGGCCACTTCCTCTCTGAGTAGGAGATAGCAGAGCCAAGGTCATGGGGCCACCTCCTTTCTGAGTAGGAGAGAGCAGAGCTAAGGCACTGGCCTGCCTGGCTGCCTGGCTTCTACACGCTTCATTACCACCTCACAGGGCTTCTGCAGACAGCCAGCCAGCCAGCCAGCCAGCCAGCCAGCCTACACTACATCAGAGACATAAAGAGAGAGAAGGGAGGGGAGGACTGGGAGAGAGAGGGGAGGGAAAGAGAGGTGAAGGAGAGAGAGACCTGGATAGATAGAGAGAGAAGGGAGGAGGGAAAGAGAGCGGGAGGGGTAGAGCGGAAGAGAGGGGGAATAGTAGGGAGAGAAAACGAAAGAGACTTAGAGAGGGAGGAAGAGAGAAAAAGAGAGGTGTTCTGTGCTGTTTGAAGCTCTTCCCACAAGTGCTTTGAACCAATAACAGTAATGATCCATCGCAGTTGCCTGAGAGCCAGCAGGGAAATCAAGAACCCAGAAATGCACACACGTGCATGTGTGTGCACGCACCAAACACACTGTAATTGAAAAGCAAAGTGTGGGCTTTGTGGAGAAAAAAAATATATATACATGTTGCTAAAGAAAATACACATCAATCCATTTTAGTCTCACTATATCCATGTCCTCATAAGGAAAATACAGAAATTATATATTTTCAAAAAAACAAAACGGATGGTTTTGAAAATCCGATGGTTTTCTATGTCTGTCTTTTTCCAACAATCTAAGGTTCTCTGTGGACTTTTGCATGACAGAGGACTTGGAAACCATGGAAATGAACCACACATGAACCCTCACTCTGCAGGGGGCAGTGAATCACCCACTAACAGTATAGATAGGCTCACCCTTCCTTCCCCCATCATATTTTCCCTCCCCTGCTTTCCTCTCTGTATCTCTGTTCTCTTCCTCACCAAGGTCTGCTTTACGGGTAGCATCTTGTTGCACAGGTCAACCACTTTTTGGAGGAAAGAAAATTCAAATGTATTTGATTATGATGATGACTGTTAAAATGTTTTTTCCTGGCATACGTGTATTCAACATAGCCAGGAGACAGACGCACAGTGTAACGTTTACAGAGTAAGATGTAGGGACTACCTGACCTTGTCCCATAAAAAGAAAACGCTTGTTTTAGTCTTCCGTTGAAAAAATGTTTTGCTACGTTGTGCACTAATGACAGTGTTGTTGTGCTTGTCTTCCCATGCAGCTGGAGAAGAAACAGATGGCCCCGCCCTTCAAGCCCCAGATCACAGACGACTACGGCCTGGAGAACTTTGACACCCAGTTCACCAACGAACCAGTGCAGCTAACGCCAGACGATGAGTAAGTCCAGTCCTTCCAAATGACTAGCCTGACATACGACTAAATATTTGAAAATAAAAATGAAAAAATATGTATGCACTCACTAACTGTAAGTCGCTCTGGATAAGAGCGTCTGCTAAATGACTAAAATGTAAAATGTAATCAATACTATTTATTTATTGAAGTGTTATAGGCCTATAGATGAGATTGAACAAGCCATCAAACTAGGTGTGTACCCTTGGCCATATATTAAACATCAGAACACAAATGTTATAGCTTACTGTATAAACTACTAGTGTTATAATAACTTGGTAACATATAGATGGTTAGTGGATAGGGGCGGTGCAGACAGGGAAACCCCAGGTGAACTCTGGGAATGGTGATGGTTGGCCAGTAGAGGGCACTCCTCTCACAGGACCAGTCCATTCCAGTCTGTTTCCTGTACCATAAGGGATTGGAGACTGGAGGCTGAGACTGGGGGCTTGTCCAGAAACAACCCCTAGCCCCTACTCCCTAGAGATTATTAGTTTGAAACAATAGGGTGAAAATTCCCCCTATAGCCTGTCGGAGGGAAAGGTTGAGCTATCCCTGTATTGCTTAAACCTATCAAATAATCTCAGATCTCCACAAGTGTCTAGGGGGTAGTTTCTGGACAGGGTCTATTCAGGGGTCTGCAACGTGTGGCTCTATGGCTAACTCAGACTATAATTGTAGTAGTGCAGATCTTCAACAACCAGAGAGCATTCACCACCTCAGAGAGCATTCACCACCTCAGAGAGCATTCACCTCTCAGAGAGCATTCACCACCTCAGAGAGCATTCACCACCTCAGAGAGCATTCACCACCTCAGAGAGCATTCACCACCTCAGAGAGCATTCATCACCTCAGAGAGCATTCACCACCTCAGAGAGCATTCACCACCTCTGAATCTGCAACATAAAAGGGTCAACATTTATATTGTACATTTTACATTTACATTTTAGTCATTTAGCAGATGCTCTTATCCAGAGCGACTTACAGGAGCAATTAGGGTTAAGTGCCTTGTTCAAGGGCACATCGACAGATTTTTCACCTAGTCGGCTCGGGGATTAGTCGGCTACCTGCCGTACAATGAAATGCTGCTATGGCTCTGCCCTCATTGTAAAAGAAACCCACAAAAAAAACACCCACAACAGTGTTTGGGAGTAGATAAGAGACATCAGACGTGTGATGACTCCACTGAACAAAGATCTACTTGGACATCCACTCTTTCTCTCTTTTATCCCTGTTCTTTCATCTTCAGTCCGTTTTACTGTGCCAAGTCTCTGACTCTCGATGTCTTTGAAAATAATTGTCTTCAATAAGGAAAAAAATAAAGAAAATCCCCTTCCAACAATGACTTCAGTCGTACGTTGTGTTTTGATCGATGTGGACATGTTGTCCGTGGGGGATTTGACAGGATCCTTGTTTTAGATTAACTTCGAAAGAATGGGCTAAAAAGATTTGGCATAGCAACAGAGGTGACTGCTGTCCTACCGAGGGGCTCTGTAGCCAGAGTATGACAAACAAGCCAGGCTTTTCTCTGCGGGTGCAGGAAAACTATTCCAAACGATCCCATGTGGCTTTGCAGGTGGTGCCAATAGATATTACTGGGCAGACGTTTGTCAACATTTTCATTAAATTATCCATTGTGGACAAATTCTGATGTTCAGGCTCAATGTTTGGTTTGTAATCATTCAGCTTTCTATATAGATGTATTGGCGATCAGATGAACAACACAAATTCTAGGCATTTCTTTGTCTGTTTCGAGGCCATACAAAGGCATATAATCTATCTATCCATCTACCCAGGATAGAAACCCACAGTATTTCTGGCGTTCTGACACAGTAGTTGAGGTGTGTCTACTGAGGTGAGGTCAGATCAACCGGTGGTGCGAAGCAGGGGAGGGAGTGATGTAAAGCTCCACCCTCCTCTTCTGTGATTGGTTTGGCAGACGAAAAAAGAAAAGTGAGAGAGAGAGAGAGAGAGTGGGAGGGAGAGGGAGAAAAAGGGTAAACCCTCCTTGTTAGCGATTTACTTTGCTGCATTAAAACCCTTGCTTCCTGAGAGCCCTTGCCAAGGAGCTGACAGAGTGAGGGAGAGAGACGGACGGAGAGGGGAAGAGAAAAATTGAGGGAGAGGGGGAGAGCAAAACAGACATTAGGAGGGAGAGATAGAGAGAGAGAGAGAGAGAGAGATGAAGAGAGAGGGGGAGAGAAAAACAGAGAGAGGAGAGAGGAGAATTTAATTTACCAGCGCCTTGTAAATGGCTGCTATGACCAGACCCAAAGCAATAAGGGTTCACTCTGTTCTATGTTCTATGCCTTGGCTCCTTGGCCCCTTGGCTCCTTGGCTCCTTGGCTAACCACAGAGATTCAAGGGCTTTGTCTATAGACAGGGATGGGGAAAATGAAACATTCCCTGGATTTGGATTGTATGGAGGAGGTTGATTGGATGGGTTCTGTTCCTCTTTGTTTTAGGAGTCCTGTGTGTGTGTGGGCACCACCATCAAATACAGAACTGTCTGTCCTCTCTCTCTCTCTCTCTCTCTCTGGTCTTCTTCTCTCTCTCTCTTTGTCTCTCTCTCTCTGTCTCTCTGTCTATGCTCCTCTGTCTCTCTCTTCGTCTCTTTCTCTCTGTCTCTCTTCTTCTGTCTCTCTCTCGGTCTCTCTCTCCCTGTATCCCTCTGATCTATCTTCTCTCTCTCTCGTATCATATTTCTCTCTGATCTCGTCTCTATATCTCTTCTCTCTCTTGTCCTTTCTCTTTTGTATATCTCTCTATCTGTATCTCTCTCTCGTGTATCTATCTCTCTGTATCACTATCTCGTCTCTCTCTATGTCTCCTCTGTTCTCTCTCTCTCTCTTCTCGCTCTTATCTCTATCTCTGTCTACTCTCTCTGTATCTCATCTTCTCTCTCCTCTCTCTCTTCATTCTCTATCTCTATCTCTATCTTCTATCTCTGTCTCTTCTGTCTCTCTCTCTTATCTATATGTATCTTCTCTCTCTCTCTTTTGTCTCTTCTCTCATCTTTCTATGTCTCTGTCTCTTCTCTCCTCTACCCTCATCTTGTATCTATATTCTGTCTCTCTCTCTCTGTCTCTCTCTCTCTGTCTCCCTCTGTCTCTTTCTCTCTTTATATCTCTTCTCTTCTCTTCCTTCCTTTCTCTCTCTCTCTCTTCTCTCTCTCTCTCTCTCTCTCTCTCTTCTCTCTCTCTCTCTCTCTCTCTCTCTCTCTCTCTCTCTCTCTCTCTCTCTCTCTCTCTCTTCTCCCCCTCTCTCTCCCAGCTGTCAGTTCCCAGCTCTACTGACACGAGGGCAGCCTCAGATGACACCTTTTTCCCCTCCCATCCTTTTCTCTTTCTCCCACTTTCCTTCCTTCTTTCTCTTTCTCTCTCAATGTCTCAGTCTCCTCCTCCCCTTCTCTTTCTCCATCTCTCTCTCGTTCCCTTTCTCTCTCCTTTCCATCTGGTAGAGCTTTCCATCTGGTAGAGCTTTCCATCTGGTAGAGCTTTCCATCTGGTAGTCCATCTCCTTCTTTCAGGCAGTCTCTTGGAGAAAAAAAAAGGCAACATTTGAGCAAGTGAACACACTCTTGTTTTTTTTTTGGGGTTGCGTCCCAAACGTTCCCTCCAGTCCTCGCTCGGTTTCCCTTTTGTGGTCTTGTGTCTTTCCCCTCTGTCTTCTCTATTTAGTTTGTTCGTTTTCATCTCGTTTTCCGCTACTCTCCGACTTCACTCCAATGTATTTACAGTGATATCTAGCTGTGTGCATCCAAGCGTGCCCAGGGATAGAATATCCATCAATTATTATTTTTTTGTGCTATTTGTAAAATTTCAATTGAATCTTACAGAATACAACACACAACATTTTCTGGGTGTATTTCAGTGTGTTGAATGTGATTCTAAAGGTATGATGGTGTGTTGTAGTCAACAGAGTGTATGGTGGTGTGTTGTCAACAGAGTGTATGATGGTGTGTTGTAGTCAACAGAGTGTATGGTGGTGTGTTGTCAACAGAGTGTATGTCTGGATCTAGATTACAATGAACTGGAGGTGAGGCTCTGGTCTTACACCACATTGAGGCTTCTCCTAAAAACTGGTCTAGGATCAACTCTACCAACATTAAACCTCAGCTCAACCATTACAAGCAACAAAAAAAAACACACCCACCCAGGACCAGTATAAAGACAACCAACATCTCCAGGAGGGAAGCCTCTCTCTCTCCCCAGCAAGAGGCCTGCTTCCTGGGGCTCGACTCCTCCTCCCTATCCTCCTGGGGAGGGCGGTCAGCCCTCTTTACTACGGCAGATGAGGGCTGCAGCCCAAATGGCACCCTATTCCCTATATAGTGAACTACTTTCGACCTGAGCCCTGTGGGCCCAAAGCAGCGCACTATAAAGGGAATAGGGTACCATTTGAGACGCAGACGAGGAACAGCCTGTTGTTGGAGAAGCATTAGCGGCAGCAGCAGAAGCTTTACTCTCTGAGTAGTACATTTATTTTTTACACTGCCTCTCCAAACCAGTCACGTGCTTTCCCTTCATTTAAAGATGATTACCTCTTTGTTAATGGAACCAAACCGAGGCCACTGCTGGGGAGAGAAAGAAGCACAGGGAGAGTTCACCAACGAGGCAACAACAAGCTGTTCTTTCTTCTCTTCTTTCACGTTGCGCAAAGGGCTCTTTTCTGCTGGGGTTCAATGGTCGATTTTGAAATAAACATGTGTGTGTGTTAGATCAGTACAGCGGTGAGGTTGTTTGGAACGTGGCTGGTTTGAAATACTGTAGGCTACCAGGTGGCTCTACTGTAGGCTACCAGATGGATCTACTGTAGGCTCCCAGGTGGATTTACTGTAGGCTACCAGGTGGATTTACTGTAGGCTACCAGGTGGATCTACTGTAGGCTCCCAGGTGGATTTACTGTAGGCTACCAGGTGGATTTACTGTAGGCTACCAGGTGGATCTACTGTAGGCTACCAGGTGGATCTACTGTAGCCTACCAGGTGGATCTACTGTAGCCTACCAGGTGGATCTACTGTAGGCTACCAGGTGGATCTACTATAGGCTACCAGGTGGATTTACTGTAGGCTACCAGGTGGATCTACTGTAGGCTACCAGGTGGATTTACTGTAGGCTACCAGGTGGATCTACTGTAGGCTACCAGGTGGATCTACTGTAGGCTACCAGGTGGATTTACTCTAGGCTACCAGGTGGATCTACTGTAGGCTACCAGGTGGATCTACTGTAGCCTACCAGGTGGATCTACTGTAGCCTACCAGGTGGATCTACTGTAGGCTACCAGGTGGATCTACTATAGGCTACCAGGTGGATTTACTGTAGGCTACCAGGTGGATCTACTGTAGGCTACCAGGTGGATCTACTGTAGGCTACCAGGTGGATTTACTCTAGGCTACCAGGTGGATCTACTGTAGGCTACCAGGTGGATCTACTGTAGGCTACCAGGTGATCTTTGCCTACCTCAGTAGCAATGTACTTGAAACAACAACGTCTGACTTGTTCCTGTAAATATCCATGTGTTGAAATAGGACTATTCTCACCCGACTGCCATAGATTCCCTGTGTATAGGAGAGGTAAGGTAACTCCTGAAGTACTACACTAGCATGTCCACACCCTTTAAAGCAGCACATATAGTATAACCTCCAAAACAACAACAACAACACATGAAACCAACAGGTACACAATCTGGACATTCCTTTGTCCAAATGATGACTTCTAGAACCTAAGAATTTTGAGGGTTAAGATTAGGCGTGCTGTGAGGTTAAAGTTAGAATAAGGTTGTGGGAGAGTGTAGAACGGAAAATCTAAACAAAAAATAAAATGCGTGCCTCACACTCATTGCCTCCCTACGTATAATATGCCTCCCTACGAATGATATGTCTCCCTACGTATAATATGTCTCCCTACGTATAATATGTCTCCCTACGTGTAATATGTCTCCCTACGTGTAATATGTCTCCCTACGTGTAATATGCCTCCCTACGTATAATATGTCTCCCTACGTATAATATGTCTCCCTACGTATGATATGTCTCCCTACGTATAATATGTCTCCCTACGTATGATATGTCTCCCTACGTATGATATGTCTCCCTACGTATGATATGTCTCCCTACGTATAATATGTCTCCCTACGTATGATATGTCTCCCTACGTATAATATGTCTCCCTACGTATGATATGTCTCCCTACGTATAATATCCCAGCTAACAAGGAACGTAACTGAGACATTTGTAACATTCCCCTTAAGTCTTCCGGAGCATGGCGTTTGCAACGCCAGGGTTGTGGGTTCGATTCCCACGGGGGGCCAGTATGAAAAAAATATATTAAAAAAAGAATGAATGCACTCTCTAACTGTAAGTCGCTCTGGATAAGAGCGTCTGCTAAATGACTAAAATGTAAATGTAAAAATGTACTGAATGTCATAGCCAGTTTGGGACATTATAGGCGTTATAGAGGTTATAAAGTATTATAGAGGTTATAAATATCAGGTCGCTATACAGACATCATGGGAACATTAAAAACGTTACTTGGTAGTCCATGAAAGGTTCTGAATATCATGTTATTTTGGAGATATCCTAGGAACATTTCATAACGTTACATTTAGAGCTATGGTTTGTCTTCATATGACGTTACTATCGGAATGATAGAAATACAGTTTTGAACATTGTCTGTAAGTTTCACAATAACGTTATTATGACTAATTATGTGGGGACTAAAATTACTTTGTGGTCATGTCCTGGAACTTAATTTTGTTAGCTGGGATTCCTCCCTACATATAATATGCCTCCCTACGTATAACTTCCTAGAAAAGAAAGCGTAAAGCATCAGCGATCAGGCTGAACTACCACATTGTAGTATTAGTCATTTGTTCTGAGTAAAATGACATTTTTCTCTCTCTGCTTTTTTCCCTTTCCTCTCCCAGGGACGTCATCAGGAGAATAGACCAGTCCGAGTTTGAGGGATTTGAATACATCAACCCCCTGCTGCTATCCACGGAGGAGTCTGTATGAGGGGGAGGAGACCTCCTTTTCTTCTCCCACCTGTGTCTGTCTCCCGCCCCCTCCACCCCCACCCCTCTCTCAGCCAAATCACTGAACAACTCCCTCTGCCGAGGAGGAGGAGGAGGACAAAGAGAGGGCAAGAACCTCTCGGCACGAAGGACGAGGCTCGAGGACACAAATGCGAAAAGGAGCCTTTTTTCTTTTGTCGTGGATCTCCCATAATGGATTGCATTATTTTGTCGCCGGGGCAAAACTCTTTGGAGGTGGTCAACATTTTAAAAAATACACAGGAACATTCCCAAAACTCGGTTGTTGATTGTCTTCCTGTTTTTTTGGCTTCGCGGTTTTGTTTGTTTCCCCAGCAACTTAATTTATGTGTCAGCGGCAGAAAGCGACTTCATTCTGGGCCTGCCATTGGAAAACCGATTTTCCAGTCCCGCCCCCCCTGGATGGAATATGAAAGTTCTACGACTCAGAACTTTAATTTGTGTTTCTTTTTCTTTTCTTTTTTTATCCTGTAGAACTCCGCTGCCTCGAGCAAAACAAGAATGTACAATGATGAAGGAAAACATTATATGATAGAAGTTATTGTGTATTATAATGTAGGTAGCGACTCCAAATTGATGATGCCTTTCTATTGATGCAAAGTGGCACGTTTTATTCATGACCATGGACTTTGTTTTTGTTTATTTTCTTCAGCAGTTTGATTTTCATGAACGAAACATTTTTTTTTTCTCCATCTTTTTATTTAAGAAGTGCCTCAAAGATCCAATCTACACCATGTTTCTGATTGCACTTATTGATTGTTCCAATTCCCTTCAGCTGCCTGGTGGGCGGGTTTGTTGGTGATAAAAGATGTTGGAACACATCATGCATAAAGACCACAGGGCCTCAATTCTAAAAGGTTTTAATGCACCGATTTGTTTTGTAAATTGTGCATACACCGAAATGTAGAGTATGTCAATGTTTTAAGAGTTAAAGATTTAACAACCTTCAGCTTGATGATCACCTTGAGCTTGATCATCACAACACAAACTTATCATCTGTGGGTGAACAGAATTCTGAACGATAATGCATCGTCCTCTGCACTAAAGTCTGGGCTAATGTACGTCACTTAGAACGTCTTAAGAAGTCCAAGTTCCCATAGTCCTTTGCCATAAACAGCATAAAGATGTAAGTTAGTTGATCACCGTAGATGGTGAGTGAAGTGCGTTTAATGGGGAAATCGTTCTAAAATTGTGCATACTCCCATTTTTGAGAACTGATTGAACGCTCAAATTTTGTATAACAACTCATTTTATAAATGAGGCTCCATGTCTTATGCCATCCAAATGGTTGAATCTTTAAAATGAACGTTATGGAGCACAGTAGCCAACCAAGGTCCTGATGAAAGCATGGTTATATATGGTTAAATACAGTACAGGGCTACATCACTCCTGAATGATCAAACCTTAAAACGTATTGTCTCCATACACTGGTGCTCAATGTGACAAACTGTGTTGGATGTCAGTGACTGGCAGGCTGGTGATTTGGCTGAACAGCTGAAGGCTACACTGATTCTAATAGTTGAGGACTGGACACGATGGTGGGGGAAGACATTGTCATGGTGCACATGCTGACCTGCACTACAACTGACCTGTGGTCAGTGAATAGGGGCGAGATTATGAAGCTGTGGCATATCCACAGATTAGTTGCATACCCGAAAGCACACACACACACAAACCTACTTTTCAAAGAGCACGATTCTCTTCATCCACGTAAGGGGAGATTCCACTTTTTCAAAGCCATCTCACTTTCGATAGCACATCACATCAGTGTCACCATTTTGTTTTATTTATGAACTGTGTTTTACGTTGAACTAAAAAAGGAATACATTCACTTGACATTGTCTCTTGAGAGACCAACGGATTAACTGAAGCGGTAGCTCTTGAAATCGTTCCTAACGCTATAGCAACGGCTATTTAAACCAGGAAAAATAAAGGTTAGATCTCAATTGTATTTCCTCGATTCCTCACATCCTCTCTTCTCGTCTCCTCTCATCTCCTCAAAACGCATTAGAGCAGAAGATCGGCGGTTCCTCCCAATACAATTGAGATTCACTCAAAGAGTATCTGTAAAAATATTACTTAGTCCATGATTTTTTGTGTTCTAACATATTTGCTGGTTGGATGTGCTTAATTCTGCTTTAACGCATCTCTGTAAATATCTGTAATTATTAAAAACAAAATGTTTTTCCGTGAACTGATCTCGTTTTTGTTTTCTGTAGCCACATGAGGGAAAGCATTTGATGCTCAATATTTGTCACTGCAGTTTCTTTGGAAGTAACCCTGCGATAAAATGGGAAACCCTTAGATCTCTGATCGCTAGTTTTAAAGAATCTATTCTTTTGAAATGCACATTTATTATTAATTCATAATTATTGCCAAGCTGTTACCTCGTGTGTTAAATGTTGTAGAAAATTGTTAAACCATTTCTATCTCAAGATTTTGTTTGAGAAATGGATACTAAATGGATATATACTGTACACTGAGGATACCAAACATCAGAAAATCCTTCCTAATATTGAGTTGCAGTCCCCCCCCCCCCCCCCCCCCCCCCCCACCCCCCCCCCCCCCCCCCCCCCCACACACACACACACACATTTTGCCCTCAGAACAGCCTCAATTCATCGGGGCATGGACTCTACGAGGTGTCGAAAGCGTTCCACAAGGATGCTGCCCATGTTGACTCCAATGCTTCCCACAGTTGTGTCAAGTTGGCTGGATGTCCTTTGGGTGGTGGACCATTCTTGATACACACGGGAAACTGTTGAACGTGAAAAACCCAGCAGTGTTGCAGTTCTTGACACAAACCGGTGCGCCTGGCACCTACTACCATACCCAGTTCAAAGGCACTTCAATCTTTTGTCTTGCCCATTCACCTTCTGAATGGCACACATACATAATCCATGTCTCAATTGTCTCAAGGCTTAAAAATCCTTCATTAACCTGTCTCCTCCCCTTCATCTACACTGATTGAAGTGGATTTAACAAGTGACATCAGTAAGGGATCATAGCTTTCACCTGGATTCACCTGGTCAGTCTGTCATGGAAAGAGCAGGTGTGTTCTCAGTGTATGTTTCATACAATTTATTTTAATGCCAGCCACCACAGGCTGCAATGACATTTTTGCTTCTACCATTTCAATTTTTAGATTTATTGGTATTTTGGTCCATTAATGTTAGTTTTGGACCAAAAAAATGTATATTTTCTTTAGTTTATCATA